GCAACAGAAGACAGCGAGTCACTGTGAGGGGTGAAGCCTCAGATTGGCGAGACGTCACCAGTGGAGTCCCGCAAGGTTCAGTCCTTGGACCTATACTGTTTCTGATATATGTAAATGATCTCCCAGAGGATATAGAATCATTCCTCTCATTGTTTGCTGATGATGCAAAAATTATGAAGAAGATTAAAACAGAGGAAGATAGTAGCAGGCTACAAGATGACCTAGACAAACTGAATGAATGGTTCAACAAATGGCTACTAAAGTTAAACTCGAGTAAATGCAAGGTATTGAAACTAGGCGGTGGAAACAGGAGACCAGACACAGGATACCGAATGGGAGATGAAGTACTTCATGAAACGGACAGAGAGAAAGATCTAAGAGATGATATCACTCCAAACCTGTCTCCTGAAGCCCACGTAAAAAGAATTACGTTTGCGGCATAGGCGAGGCTGGCTAACATCAGAACAGCCTTAAGGAACCTGTGTAAGGAATCATTGAGAACCTTGTATACCACATATGTAAGACTAATCCTGGAGTATGTGGCCCCAGCATGGAGATAGACTTGAGTAACCAAATGAGCCACAGGGACGTTAGAAAGAACTTTTTCAGTGTCAGAGTAGTTAACAGGTGGAATGCATTAGGCAGTGATGTGGTGGAGGCTGACTCCATACACAGTTACAAATGTAGAGATGATAGAGCCCAGTAGACTCGGGAATCTGTACACCAGTTGATTGACGGTTGAGAGGCGGGACCAAAGAGCCAGAACTCAGCACAACTAGGTGCACAACTAGGTGAGTACACGCAGATACACACACACACACATTTACCTGAGAGTCACTAACACTAGTGGCCTCGACGAGGACAGGAAGCTGGCGGCTTGTCGAAGATCTCCCCCATTTGCCTTGATGATCTTTTCCAGTTGTAATTTAAAGGTTCAACAGAGTTTTGGCATTTACGGCTTCGGCGGGTAGGCGTGTCCATGGGTTAATAACCCTATGGATGAAAAATCATCTATTCTCAGTCCTACATTGAGGCTTGTTGAGCTTGAAACCGATGTTCCTTGTTTGTGATACACCTAACCATTTAAAAACACTTTCCGGATCAAGATCCTCCAATTTGTTCAGTATTTTAAAACATTTCAATAAGATCCACTCTGTCATGCCTAGTCTGCAGTGTCGTTAGCCCTGTGGCCCTCAACCGTTCCTGATACGAGAGATGACTTAGCTCTGGAATGATTTTTGTTGCCCGATGTTGCACCTTCTCCAGAGCAGCTATATCCTTCTGAAGATGAGGTCTCCATGCTTGGATACAGCAATCCAAATAGGGAAAACCAGAGATTTATACAATTGAATCACTACCTTCTTTTCCTTGAAATCGAAGGTACGCTTCATTATTCAAAGTGTTTTGTTAGCTTTGTTAATTGCGGTTCCTACTTGCTGTGCAACTTTCATTGAGTGGTGTATTTTGACACTAAGGTCCTTTTCTTCATCAGTCTGCTGTAATGTAATATTATCAATTTGGTAGTTGTGGCACGGGTTGTTGACAAAACAACCCACATGCAGGGTCTTGCATTTGTCAATGTTAAAAAAGCATATTAATATTAACACTTACCTGAATTTACCTTAGAGCCACTATATCTCTAGTGGCCTCGACACGGACGGGAAACCAGCGGCTTGTCATGAGTCTCCCATTTGTTCTGATGATTTTGTCTATTTGGATCTTAAACTGTAGCAGTGTTTTGGCATTTACGACTTCGGCGGGTTTGAAGTTCCGTGTGTTTATAACCCTATGGTTTTATATAAACCCTTCCATGGGTTTATAACCCAACAGTTAAAAAAGCATCATCTGTCTTCTGACCTACATTGTGGTGATTCCATATGTTGGCCTCCGAATGCATGATAGAGCTGATGTGTTAGCCAAAGAATCTGCCTTTAAAGGCGAAATTGAGGCGGCTTTTCGAAGGTCACCCCATGTGCCCTGATGATCTTTTCCAGTTGGATTTTAAAATGGATTTGCAGCTTCGGCGGGTAGGCAGTTCCATGGGTTAATAAGGTTTCGTTCCTACAAGAGATCTTCCCCGGCTTCCCAGCTTTCTTTGCCGTATAATGCTTTGAAAGTACTGACGGTTTTGGCCTCTACCACCTGCTCACCTAACTTGTTCCAAATCTCTACCACTGTTTGCGAATACAGGACACCTGTGTCCTGCCCTCTGCTAGCTGTCTGGCCTGATGACCTCCCTGCAGCCTGGGCTGCCTGTTGACTGGCCGGCCCGTCTTCCCTGCGTTCTGAGACGCCCTCTCCTGCACCCTCTGGTGGGGTATTCCTCCTCCCCCCCCCCCGGGCTTCCCGGAATTTTCGTCACCTCAAGCATCACTGATTATTCCTCTTTTCCAAAGTGAAATAAATACCAGTAATTCCATCTATCATGCAAGAGGAGCCAAACATCTATGGTTCATCCAATAAAATCAGCAGATTTCTATAGATGTTACTACTGCTCGGCTTAGACTCGGTTACAAGTATCTTTGGGAATTCTCATTATCTGCTGATGTAGACCTAACCAAATGTAAACTGTGTCAACAAAATTATTTGCACGCCCTCCGTCACTGTGTGATGGAGTGCGAAAAGATACTTGAATTCAGAGACAATTCTATAACAAATGTTCCAGAGATGTGTAAATATTTCATTCCAAATGATCTGCTACCAAAAATCTTAGCAAAATATTCTATTTGCTAACTGTAGGTAGTAACTAAGTGAATGTAACCTATCCACCGCTGCCCACTGGATAGGGGGCGGTGTTCAGGACAGACATAGTGACACTAGCTCTCTACATGTCAGTTACTTAATTTAGAAACTGTTCTTGTGGTCGATCTCGAGCCCATTGATGATGTGACAACTGTATTGAATTTGGTAACTAGCTCATCAAGATTATAACTTGCTTAGCTAAATGAATTGTGGGGTTCATCCCTGAGCCCATTATGTACCTCTGTAACCTTTTCCACTACTGCCCACAGGATGGATATGGGGTGCACAATAAATGAACTAAACTTGAAAACCTTCTTCCAGGCATATTTTCTCTGCACACCACAGAATGCCTTCCTTGACGCCTCCTGCCACGCACAGGCCCTCGGTGTCCTGGACTATGCCTCCTGCTGACTTGACCCTGCCTTCGAGTAGAGGAGGCTGTAAATACCGCAGAACGGGGGTAGAATAAACAAGAAAACTTAAAAAAAGGGGGGGGGGGGTCGTTCAATTTGGAGGTTAGTCGTCACACTAGTTTCTATGCTTTACCTAATTGTAGGTTTGAGCTCGTCAATCTTTCTGATGGTTTGCAAATCAAATATTCTTACATATATGCTATAACTAAAACATTTAACCAAATATACCTTCACAAACATGAGTTTTTTAAAAGGTAATATAATTTTAACAGGAACAATTAAACAAAAATATCTGCAGTATATTTATGGAATATATGAAAATGATATCAAAATTAATGTGTGATGATAAGCAATTAAAATTGATTTATAAACAATGAAAATATTTTTTTACAGATAAAAAGTAGTAGAAAATAAAGCATACGGTATCTATAAATTTTATTTATAAAATAAAGCAAAAATTAGATATATAAATACAACTTTGAGCTTATTTGCCATAATAGCATTGCTAAAATAACTATCACATCATTGGGGAATAGCCATAATCGATGTAGTGGTTAGAATAAACAGTAATGTATATAAAATAAAAACTAGTATGATGTAATTTGCAAAAATTAAATATTAATAATAATATATTATTACTATTATTATTACTACTACTGTATTAAGAAAATTAGTAGAACCTGTAAGGATGATTCAAACTCACTCACACACTCGGTACTCCTAAGCAAACACCCTAGATAACTACACTACGACATAGTAAGAGCAATGTAACTTGGGATGCCACTGAATCCTCTAGGGGTCCCAAGACTTCCAACTGAAGTCCAATCAGGAGTGCATAGGGGCAACGTGTAAAGCCCTGATTCGGCTTCAGTTGGAGGCCTGAAGACCCCTAGAGGTTTCAGTAGAATCCCAGATTGCATGGCTTTTACCATATTGTGGTGTAGCAGTGTAGTGTTTTCTTGGGAGTACTGTACCAAGTGATGGGATTCAAATCCTCCTTTTGTCTCCTACTGATTTTCTCATTGATACATTGCAATTATTGATTTCATTGTGCAACAATAATAATAGTAATAATGCAGTATTATTATTATAGCTCAGTTGACTGCAAAATATAATTAGACAAATACTGTAACAAAAAGTGTTTATCTTTATTTTCAGCTTTTCACACGTAATGTTGAGCCATGATGAAATTCTTCCAAAGAGAAAAATGGGTAGTTGAAAAAATTATGAATAACATTATACCAACTACAGTATTACCTTTCCATGCATTATTTATTGAAATTTTCAAACATTATAATTAATTCAGTGTACTGTTGATGAAATTAACTACTATCTCCAAGTCCTTATCATATGGGTATATATGTTAGCTGTTCTGTAAATAAGAGCTGCCATCAAATTTTATTTACATACAATTTACGAAGTAATCTTAAATTAATATCCAGATCACATAATGCTGACACTTCAATGAAGCAATCTTGCAATAAATTGTCTAAACTTTATGCACTGCACTTTTAATAACAGCACAGTAATAAAGATGTGTTGATAATACTCTACTACTATTACGAACTAAATTTCTAAGTATTCAGACAAAGGCACACTACTCAATGGCACAGAACATTCCAAGACAGGACAGAGACAATAGGGCATGTTTTATTTCACCCAATGTGAAGAGCAGAGGTGCCATGGGCACAATCAGAGAACACTGTATGAACATCAGAGGTCCACGATTGTTCAACGTCCTACCAACGAGCATCAGAAATATTACAGGAACAACCGTGGACATCTTCAAGAGGAAACTAGATTGTTTCCTTCAAGGAGTGCCGGACCAACCGGGCTGTAGTGGGTATGTGGGCCTGCGGGCCACTCCAAGCAACAGCCTGGTGGACCAAATTCTCACAAGCCAAGCCTGGCTTCGGGCCGGGCTTGGGGAATAGAAGAACTCCCAGAACCCCATCAACCAGGTCTCGTTTCATCTAGCAGTTACAAACTGTTAGGAATGGTGGAGGTCTGCCACCCCTTTCACATGCTAACTCTTCAAATAACCGAACCACCCTGTGGCCTGTTTCTCCAGTGGCGCCACGACTAGCAACATTGCCAGCCAATGGGAGAGCTGGATGAAAGTGATGTCCTGTGGCCTGGGTCCTGGCTAAAGCAGTCAATAGCTGCCTGACTTAGGTATAGATGGACCTGCTCTGAACATTATTAAGATTAGCTTATGTTTAGGCTAAGTTAGGTTTTCTCTAATGTGCAGTGGTCTCACATCCAGCCTAAAGGTCCATGTCCTGATATAGGCAGTGTCCCATAATACTGACTCTGTACTTTGGCTAGGAATAGACCAGTAGGTTATTGATTGAAGGATTACCTAGTGTATTTTCTCCCTGCAGTTCAACCATGTGTGAATTACCTTCCAGTTAGGTCTATTATTGAAAGATATCTGCAATTGGATTGTCTTGGCTAGTTGTAGCCCAACCAAAGTTTTATTCCCCCACTGCACTTCCCATATATAGGTATTGTCTTTTAGTCCTATTGCTGCCGAGTGCACTTTGTCTAGGAGTACAGATGTATGTTGTGGTACTAGGGGCTAACTAATGTATAGGCTGAAATGTAACCAAAGTCTAGGTTTCTTATCTTACAGTTTAATCTACTATTGGAAGACATCTGCATTGTCTTTACATATGCCGATAAGCAGCCCAGACTATTATTTTGTAGCACCACAGTTTATTTATTGTACTTGCTTGGAACCACTCGCCTTACTTTTTTTCTTAGGAATATAGCTTTTTTTATAAATATTTCCATATCTATGTCCTCCATGGTGTCTTGGATCCCATCTAGGTGGATTTAAACGAATGACTGAGGATTAGGATAGGTGGCGGTAACAATAGTTACCCATGAGTTACACAATTGACGAGTTGTATTCTAGGGAAGGTCAGTAGTCGGCCAAGGGGGACCTAGATAATCTTAAGTATAAGATTCTTGTCCCCAACAACAGAAACTAACATGCCCATTTTAAAGCTGCACATATTAAGTTGCTGATGCCGAATTTATTATATGATTTATGATAGCGTATTTCTCAATCTAAACGTTAGTGCTTTCAATAAAAATATCACCGATGCGTTTTTCTGCAATATAAGAACCATATACATTCACTGCAAGCTGAACTATAATATTTACTTACTCTTATATACAAAAATTAAAATATATCATCTGTACTGTACATCTTCCATTTTCACAGGTTCCATTTTACATTTAAAAGCATCAAAGGGCACATGAACTACAACTCCATTGTCTAACACAAGGACAAGACCATATGCCTGAAAACAAGCACAAGTTAGTCTAACAGTTCCGCACGGTTTTAATGAGGCGTCTTCAGTGTTGCTCTCATGTAATCTGAAAAAAAAATAATAATAATACATTATGCCAGATATCAAGAGGTGTGCAAAGTTGCATACATCATGTGGAAATTTTCCACAGATAAAACATACTGTATATATGAATCAATTCAATCCTTTCCTAAGCCTACACGATAATATGAAGTTACGTAACTAGATCAAGAGTGTTTCGCACGTGATGTAAATTCAGTTGGAAAACATCTTCACACATGTGGATGCACAATAATTATAACCATAATTTTCCCTATTAACCTCTGGGCTGCACAGTTATTAATAGCTGATAACAGCCTAGTGCACAAGAAAAAATAGTGACATTTTTTTGTCCTAACATTGTTAAAATGCATTCCCTGTCATGAGAAAATAATAAAAAGAAAAAATAGTGACATATTTTGGCTATGGTAGGACGGGGAAGTTTGACAAGATACAAGCGCTGGAAGAGTACACGTTTGGCCGGTCTGCTCCAGCCGAGCCGTGTGGTGGGAGTTGCCACAAAGATGATATTACCTAATTATTTCAATGTCTCTGATTGTTTTTTCTCTGGTTCTTTGCTTTTGTAATGTGGGTGATAACAATCCCCAGCTGTGTGCCTCTATGAAGGGGTCAGGTTCTGGCTCTGGTCCCCAATAGGCCAGTTGGCTATGAAAGATGTGACTCAATAGTGAAAAGCTATCTCGGACAGCTAGCTTCAAGTAGCCACCAAGAAGTTCCCACAGAAAACCAATGCAACAATTTAGTAACATTGGAAAAAATTGTGGGAACTCTTGCTGCTTGCACAGCTCAATGTGACTTTGGCTGGGTGTCTGCAGCATTAATGATCATGAATCGTGGCATTGTAATGAGATTTGATCCCTTCACTACAGCCAAAAAGTAGAAAAAAAAGTCATTTATTTTTTCACGCACACTGCATTGGGCAGAATTGTCATATTAAATGATTGTGTAGCCCAGGGATTAAGTGCCTGTTGAGCATCATGCTGATAGGAATGATGAGAGGCTGATGGAAATATTGCAATCTAAAATATGAACATATTATTTAATGGAAGATAAATGGAAACAAATCCCCACAAACACTTGCCTTAAGTCATCAGGAAATGTCTCGGTGAAGGTTTCTTGTATGCCACTTACAGGATTCAGAACTGTCAAGTGCATCTTCCCACCATCGATGTCCATGCTTATGAGAAACACCAACTCCTGAATTGAAAAATCATGAAAAATATTATCAAATAGCTTTTGAAAAAAGGAACAATATTTACATGAAATATGTTTCTAATACAGCAACATTTCTTCCTTAATGTGAAATTTTTCACTTGGTATCAATAACTGCAACTTTTCCACAACCAATCATTTAGTTTCTTTTATTAATGACAAAACTTTCAGTTACATGGACTGTGAAATACTAAAGAAACGGTTTGTGACTTTTGTGAGACCAAAATTGGAATATGCAGAAGTTGTATGGAGCCCCGTTGTATGGGGGGCCTCGTAGCCTGGTGGATAGCGCGCAGGATTCGTAATTCTGTGGCGCGGGTTCGATTCCCGCACGAGGCAGAAACAAATGGGCAAAGTTTCTTTCACCCTGAATGCCCCTGTTACCTAGCAGTAAATAGGTACCTGGGTGTTAGTCAGCTGTCACGGGCTGCTTCCTAGGGGTGGAGGCCTGGTCAAGGACCGGGCCGCGGGGACACTAAAGCCCCGAAATCAACTCAAGATAACCTCAAGAAGCCCATATCTCAAGAAGCCCATCAATATACAGTAACTGGAAAAGATGCAAAAGCATGCTACAAAATGGCTTCCGGAACTGAAAAACAAGAGTTACAAAGAGAGGCTAGAATCATTATTATGCCCGAAACGCTTTGCGTAATAGTGGCTTTAGGCATTGTATGTACTAGCTCTACCTATAAGTCAACCAATCCTTGTATAAATTTATTGTATGTATGTACCTTACCTAAATAAAATTGTATTGTATTGTATTAAATATGCCAAAGCTAGTAGATAGATGAAAAAAAAGAGGTGACATGATCACCATTTACAAAATAATAACAAAAATTGACCAAACTGACAATAGAGGAATTCTTGAAACCAGCAACTTCAAGAACAAGAAGACACAGACTGAAGTTAAGGAAACAAAGGTGCCCAAAAAAATATTAGAAAGTTTTTTTTTGCAAACAGTGGTACTGCAGATGGTTGGAACAAGTTTAAGTGAGAAGGTTGTGGAGGCCAAAACTGTTGGTAGTTTCAAAGCATCATGTGACAAAGAGTACTGGGAAGACAGGACACCACGAGCGTAGCTGTCATACTGTAACTACAGTTTGATAATTACACACACACATACTGGTGAACAGAGAGTCACCCTTCTGGTCTCTGGTTGGGTGGTAGGAGGGTGTAACTAGCAGTGTAAACACCTTAGCTATTGTGTCCCTAGTTGCAAGTTTTGTTTCTATTTTCGTTGCAGCCGAAATTTTTCGAGCACTCTACCTTTATGTTGGTTTTCCTCTTAGTTATGATGATCTAACGTCCCCTACTCCCTCTGCCTCTATTGAGTGGATCAGGCTTTGTTTCTGATCTCCAGTAGGTATTTATGATTCATTAGGGCTTGGTGCAACATGTGTAGGGATATCCAGGTAGCTAACTCTGGGCAACCACTGAAGGGCTTACACCAGAGTACAACTTAGCTTTGAATAAAAACTATGTATGCGATTCAAACAGCGGAATCGTTTCATCAATGAATTAAGCATGAAGGGAGAACTGCTTGGTTGAGTGACCTTTGCATGACCTAGTCCACCATCTGACGGTGGTCGGGGAAGGTTGAGCACAGGTTGTTACTTGTGACCAATTATGTTACCATATTTTCACCCGGTTGTGTTTGTTTTCTCTATGAACATTGGTGTGTTTGAGGACATTTTACATTCTGTTTTGTTCGCTTTGGTGTTAGGTTAATAATCCCTACACTTTCCTCTTCTGTTGAGTGAACCATATACTGGTCCTGTTATTAGATGCCCGAGTGTTATTATTTGCTCTTCTTAAACAAGAATATGTTCAATTTTATAAATGCCTTCATGTAATATTTACAGGGTTAAACATTAATACATAGTTTATCAATGTCTTTATATCAATGAGTATCTGCATTATAATTTGTATAAGAGCAATACTAGATGTAAGCAAATAATAACATACTTGAGATGCTAAGGTCCAAGATGGTGGTATAGCCTCCCACTTAATTTGCTGCAAGATGGTATTTTCTATAGCATCATATATATATAGGATGTTCCCTGCTGTGCACAACACAACTCCCTTGGGATCTGTATAGAAAAAGTTTTAATAAGAGAGATTCTGATCACAAGAGCCATTCTTGTGCCCAGATGTAGGTTACAATGTTACAATGTTACATTGTTACAATGCCCGAAACGCTTTGCGTAATAGTGGCTTTAGGCATTGTATGTACTAGCTATACCTATAAGTCAAACAATCCTTGTAAATATTTATTGTATGTATATACCTTACCTAAATAAAATTGTATTGTATTGTATTGTTGTACAAGTGCTCTCTTAAAACAAAGAACATTAAGATGTATTCAACATTTTAGGCAAAGTTACTGCTCAATATATTAACATGTAACTGCTCATTTCCCTGTTACTTTCAGCAGTAACTAGCCAGAAAAATTAAAGTGAGGAGAGGTAAGTATAGAAGACATTATGATATGGTATAACTCACATAAGGAAATAAAGCTGTCTGTGTTTCACAACTGCCTTCTTTCTGAGGTGGGATGCAGGCAAGTTTGACAGAGTGAGAGGTACTGTAAGAGATTGTCAGGTTTATTCCAACCCTATATACGATATAAAAATGTCATGACCATAATGAAATAAATCATAATTATAATTTATTTTCATAAAACCATCATTGAATGTAATGAAATGACAATTTCTTGGTGAAGTGAAGCTACTATTTTCAGATTTGGTATTATCTACTAGGTCACATCAGCCACGAAGTTCTATAGGCCTACTGGGGATCAGCCCCAGAACTAGGGCCCCTTCAGAGACACAAGGAGTGGCGACATTTATTTTTTGCCACTACACCTGGGAAGACAACCAGGGCAAGACTTTTCCTTTTCTTGACCCGCCTGGATCCCTGGATAGGATCCTTGATTTTCTCTCCGTCTCTAGCGATTCGTTACTACTGTACCTGCATGCCACTCCCTTAGCTTTGGTAGATGCTCTTTGGGTTGATCTGATCTCTTTGGTCCCCCTGTTCCAGGGCTCTTAGTTTTTCGGTTGTCTGCATTGTCATCAAGGCTAGCCAGCCTACAGTCGATCCTGGGGCCCATGATATTTGCAAACATGTTGCACTTGTGGCAGTCATCTCTAATATGTCTTGGGCAGATATTCAGGCTCAGGAGTTTTAGCATATTAACAGGATCATGGGGGCCAGTCAGTGTCCCTGGTACTCTTCGGTCCTGGGTTGCCCTTGGTTGTGTTTCCTGGCTTTTGGTCTCTGCTTCAACTAAGTGTCTACTGCCTCTCCTCCTCTCTGGTAAGTCTACAATTTTTCTCAACTACAGGGAGCCACCATAAAGGCTTCCCCAGAAAACCAGCATTGAATGAAATGAAACGCCTCTTTCTGGTAGAGCCTTTGTGGCTCCCTGTCTCTCTCCCACTGTCCTTTCGATGTTCGTCAGTTCATTGCAATATTTATTTGATCCTGAACTGGTCTGATAGCTTACGATGGACCGAGCTCCAGGCTGCCTTGTGGCGGCAGTCGGTATTAACGGATTCTGATTAGTTTTGCGTGTTTTCTTTGTTTTCCACTGTTTGGGGAGTTATTTGGCAGTTTAGTGACTTTTGGGTCTTGTGAACCCAGCTTTGCGTCTGTAAAGCTTTGCGAACATTCTGTATGCCTTCCTGTTGATATGGCGTATTGCCATTTGCTTCCGCACCTCTCGTGAGGGGATGGGGGCAGGTTTTGGTCCTGGTCCCCTGGTAGGCCAAATTAACTGATGTGACTGGTAGACTGGAGCAATCTCAGTAAGATAGCTACACGGAAACACCATGGGCTTCCTTCCCCCTAGAAAATGAACATTTTGCAGAATCATGAATAATGAAAGTGGTTCTCTACATCCCACTATGTTATGGAAAGTGTTTCTCTATATGCTACTGTATTCAGGAAAGTGGTTCTTTTCGGTGCTACCACGGTAAAGAAAATGGTCCTGTAGGTGCTGTCATGAGAAAAGGAGAGACAGGTACCTAACAAGGCATGCACATATGCATGTGTGCAAAATACATATTTGAACACTGGGTAGCCGAACAACTCTATCAGTATCACAGAGGAAAGATGAATATTAATATCTAGAAAGCTATTATTTGAAAGTATCCCTAAATCTCCTTAACTTACCTGGTTGATTAAGAGCTACAAGACAATCTAGAGGTCTATCCAGAATTTGTGAACGCAGTGAAGAACAACACTGTAGCGCCCACTGTTTGTTACGTTTGGAAAATGTCACATCCAAATCCACTACTAAAAAGCACGCTGAACTGGAAGGTTCAATGGTGTTCCAATAAATAGCAATGCACCATTCTCCAAGTGCACAGGCAAACAAATTCTTGGATGTACTGCTGTAACAAATAGAGTGTTTAGAAAACAAATAGGTTTTTAGAAATAAATAAAATGTTGTGAAAAAATTAAGTTGTGGCATTGTAACTGTGTTTTGTACAATGACAGATGATAATACAAACTCTTGATAAATCATCATCCTTGACATATGCGAGAAATACAAAATTGGCAACTGCACTCGGCGATTTCTGGGGAAGCTCCTTGGTGGATCCCTGAAGCTATCTCACTGAAATGATTCCCCGCCACTGGATCACATCTGTTGCAGGAGTTCTGTTTGGCCTACCAGGTTTCCCTCTCAGTTCCTTGTTACCCTATTGGTCCAGGTAGTTTTTGTTAATGTAGCTTTTATTGGCTCTTGCCTCTGGCTGCAAGCTGGGGGAGCTTCAAGCTTTTCTCCAAAAGCAGGAGGTGTGGGTCTTTCTGCCCTCATGGTCATTTTGTTCATCTGCCTCCTTCTCCTCCTTTCCTGATCAAGAATGAGTCAACTGGCTTCTGAAGAGCCAGTTGACCCTGGCTCATGCATCATTTGATGTGTTCAGTGGCAGCGATTCACCAATACCTGTGTGCCACCAATTCCTCCAGGGTAGACACTTTGTTGATTGAAGCCGTTTCTTTGGTCATCTATTCCAAGACTCGTATTTCTCAGGTTGTCTACAGTGTCAAAAGCTAGCCAGCTTGTGGTCTACCCTCAGTCCCACGATATTTGTAAATTCACAGCTTTCGATGCTATGTTCTCCAAAATGTTGTGGGTTGATATTTGGGCTTGGGTTTTGAAGCCCCCTGGGTAATACTGGCTAACAGCCCAGTACAGTATTTGCTCAATGTTCATGGTCCCAGTCAGTCTTGCATTGTATTAGTTTGTTGGTTTGTTTTGTATCAGGGCCAGACTGACCAGTGAGCAGTTGTTCGCCGGGAGCTCTGGACTGCCTGGTGGCAGCCATTACTACAAATGGGTTTGAGCACATTTTGAGCTAACTAATTGTTTTGACCGAGTCATTTGCAGAGTTGTTTGGCTGTTTCAATACTTTGTTTTCAATGAGCCTTGCAGTTGTCAGTATTGCTTCATTGACTTTCTGGATGCTTTCCTGGTAAGGGTGATTATTATAATCCCCTGCTCCTTGCACCTCTGTGAGGGGGGGGGCACATTTTGGCTCTGTGCCATGATAGGTCCTACACGACTCCAGCCACAGATGTGACCCGGCAATGGGCAGCCATTTCAGCAAGATAGCTTCAGATCCACCAGGGCTCTACCAGGAAGAGGAGTTTCAGTGCATTCAACACTAGTTTTTTAATTTAAAATTATAACCTGCTAACTCAACTACACTCATTTATACAATATGTGATAAGACTGGAACCAAGAGCTGCTTGTTAACCTACACAACTGTTGATTACCACTGACACTAGTGGCAACTTGACCAAAACCTTATGATTCTGCTTTATCATTACACTTAAAGATATTTTCTCTATTCTTCAAACTATCATACAAAGTTGGGCTTGATACACTGTTCTCACTGTGAAGCAAGATTCAGTGGATGACACTATAAATTTCTGAATTATCTAAAATTTCTTAATAATTGCTAGTGCACCACATTTCCCATGTACATGCCATCACTGCAAGTATCTTACCAAAAAGAAAGGCCGAGTCCAGATTCTATGACCAACGACTTGTCACTTGGGCTAAAAAGTATGCAGAGTAACCGCAAGTCTGCTTCGGTAGTTGTAGTTATGGCTACCAAGTATCTGGTTTCGTCATCTGATGGCAGTCCCACTGCTACAATATTCCTAAAATAAGTTACTTTAATATTATTTAATATCTATATAGATAAAACTTATTAAATAACTTGTATATTATCTTTGAGAAAATGTTGTTAAAAATGTATTAGAATGCAAATATGATGAATGAAGGAATAACTTTAATCAGATTTGGAGATAGAAGGAAGCTAAACCACAAACATAAATGTTTGCCAAAGATTTTAAGAGAAAACAGCAGTTAAATATAGGTAATGGACATATTTCACAGGTTACTTAGTTTAGGTTAGTATATCAAATAAAAATTAAGGGATATAAATCTTTTGGGTGATTTTGATAATCTGTTAGTACGAGCCACAGATGGAGCAATGCTGAACGATGGGAAGTCCTGGATAGACAATACCAGAGTGCCGAATGGCACATGGAATCAAATCCAAAGGGGGGGGGGGGGTAAGTACCTCCCTGGATTTGATTAAAATCAAGATATGATTTGATTTAATTCAAAAAGTCCAGACTTGAAGAGCATAAGAGAAGGTCGAACCAACGAAGTATGTTACTGGACCGACCTTCTGATAGAGGCAGGGCCACGGAAACATGCCCAGGTTCAGGCACTGAGCAAGCAGTGTCTGAAACCAAGACTGAGCTGGGCACCAGGGAGCCAGAAGGATCACCCTCTTCTGGGAAAGGAAGCTGGCGACGCAGCAGGTGAAGGGCTAATGGGAGCCTGCGCCCAGAAATCACAATGACAGTGAAAGGAGCTGCCCTGGAAATACCAAAACAGCCACTGAAATCACACCTTACCCAGAGGAAGAATGATGCAGGTAAATTTCAGGTTCCTCAGTTGAGCAACAGTCGAGTCACTTGGGGCTGCCTCAACACCAACAGATGGCAGTGCTGCAACTGGGTCAAGGCTGCCAGAGGCAGGGAAAGTGATGCCGACTGAGTCCCAAACGAAGCCCATCCAAATCCAAACCCGAGACGTCAACAACTGGGACTAATGCAACCTAGTAGATCATACCATTTCACCCTATTGTAGCTTTAAGAAGCCAAAAGGAGCTCCCCCAGAAAGTTAAGTGAATGGGAACAATTAGCTTATTGAATATAATATGGGAATATATGAAGTCAATGAAAATGTATAGGGAAAATGCATTATTATAAATGAACATGAGATGTTAGCCATCCTATACGTTCAACTAGCCTCTATATATACCAGCCTCTTTAATTTATGCTTTCACACTGTCTCAAACTAATTCTACTTATATTTTACTGCATTTATCAGTTCATTAGTTTTGTTTTATGCAATCAAGATGTTACCTTATATCTGATGCTCTTCCAACTTGGTGAGAAACTTCACTTAATTCTTCCCAGATCTCTTGTAAACCTACTCTGCTTGAAGCTGGCTTTCCAAAACTGGACTGCAGATCTACTGGATGACTTTCTGATCTTGCCCTTAACCACCTTCCTTTTCTACTTGCACTCCAAAGAATAAAGCCACATTCATGTACGGTGAGGATATTTATTTTGTTTTCATTACCATCAGGTAAGGTTACCAGAGATGATGTTAGAATTCTCCCATACTTCTCACTGACTGACAGAGTATGCAGCCTCACATTTTCTTTATTAATAAAGTTATGTGGTTCATGTTTTGTATCATTAATAAATGTTTCATCTTGATATGTATATTCAGAATGCACATTTGCTTCATTTACACAAAGGATATCTCTATCTTTGTTACTTCTCACTACGTTTTCAAGGCAATTTTTCTGAGCAATTACATTACCTACTGGTAAATTCTCTTTATTACAGTGCTCTTGAGGAATTACCTTAAGTCTTCCTTTCTCCTTTAATGCATCACATTCTTTGGCAGTATTAGAATGTCTGTTTTGCTGTTCACTGTTCTCTAGGCAAGAAGCTTCATGAACAAAAACATCAATGTTATCTTCAAAAAGTTCATCAGGCACAGTTTTTTGGATTGAGCCTTTATTTAGATCATCAATACAATTATTTAGAAATTTACATTTGTTCAAATTTTCAGACTCGTCTAAAACTCTAATTAATTTGTTCTGCACCTCATCTTTATGTCTCACTTTATGTATCACCTCAGAAGTATGAAAATTGCTCTTTCTGTTCATTTTTATTCTTTCCTTGCCTTCTGCAATTTCTTTAGAAATTTCACAGTTTGTACTCACTTCTTTTTCAGAAATTTCACTTATAAATTCCTTCATCATTTCTTGTTCAATCTCCTTTATCATAAGTTCTTCTGTTTGGTGCATTCTGGTATTATGGTCTTCCTGCATGTCTATTTTTGTGAGCGGCTCATTAATGCTCACTTGACTGACACAATTTTGGTCAATAATTCCAGTCAGTCTTTTGCTGGGTTCACCTTTGTCACTGGTCACACTTCCTGAACCTTCTGAACTACTCTGCGTAGTTCTGTGATTTTTCCACCACTTTCTATGAGATGCACAACTTCGTTTTATCTCAATATTTTCAGACCGAGTGTGGAGCTGCGTTTCAAAGAGATCCTGTGACCCCACTTCGTTCTGCGAACTGGAATCTTTAAAACTTAACATTCTTTCTACCTGAAGCTCTTGATTATCTTTTCTACTAATCACAGAATTTGTACAGTTTTGAGAAACATTTTCAAACAAAATATGTGTAATGCTTGAAGTGTTGTCATTTTTTTCTGGTGACGGCTTAGGCAAACAGCTTTCATTTTCAAACCAATTTATACTCTTGTCATTGGGTGTGCTGTGATGTAGTGGTTGTCGAGAGTCTTGAGCTTGACTAAAATTCTTGAAGCTTGTTACCTCTGGCTCACTGTGGGAATTAGAAGGATAGTGTGTTTCATTATAGTGAGGAAATTCTGACAGACCATCACTGCATTCCTTTCCAGAAACCTTTGATTCAGTTACTTCACAGATAGATAGTTTATTTTGAACTGTTCCTTTATCACCAGAAACCAAAGCAACTTGTTTAGGAAGAGAAAGTTTATCCCCATTGTTCTTTAAAGTATTAATTTCAGAAAAAGCACCAATGGAAGAACTGCCAAAACTAGTGTTACATATCTTGGGTGAATCATTATTGTTTGTCAGATCACTGACTATTGGAGTTTTTTCAAATTGTTTGTCATTGTTTCTGTTTGGAAATTCATTTTCATGATTAGCTTCCGTTGAAGGTACTCCTGCCTGGTCGTCCTTGGCACATGATTCCTTTTCAAATTTCTTTCTATCCTGAGAATTAGATCTCCGAGATGACAACGATCTATAATGTTTGTGATTTTTGTCTTTTCTTTTACTCTCAAGATATGGGGTTGGAGAAACAAAAATAACTTTTGGGGAATCATTACTAAATGTGACTGTTCTTGAACCACTGGACTTGATCTCTACTTCCTCTGTAATATTTTTCTCAGGATCACTGCTTGAATTATCTGCCATATGAAAACAAAATTAAGATGTGGAACAAACAAGCATTGTACTGTAATAAAAAATATGATAAATACAGTAGAGTATTTATAAACACATTAAACATAAGCTTTATTCTCTTTATGATTAGTTTATGACTTGTGATATACAGTAATTTGTTATTGTGCAATAGTTTTCCCTTTTAACACACCACATATCTCATTCTATACCTATGATGATATTTCTTAAATATATATAATAAAACTGTCCATTGTATCTGCATCAACATTTAAAATTCAAGATGATAACCTGCCAATTGGATAAAAATAAAATACTGTACATACTGTATTCACAGATTTTTGTGATGCAAATACAAAACAGAAAAACTTTACTGGTTGATAACCAGACTAAAACAATTTAAAATAAACATAATAAAATGTATAAATGTATGAAAATACTAAATGGAGAATTCTTGTGAATACCTTCATCGTGACAAAAAATTCAAAACTAATTTATCTACAATTTATTTGTACAAACATGTACACCTCACTCACTCTGTGAATCACTTGCTCCATTGTGTCTTCTCAGTGTTTCTCGCACGTGCTTCTTTGCTCCAAGTACTTGATTGTACTTCTTAAGCTTCCGTTCCTTTCGTCGCAACACACGTTTTATTTCTGCGAGTTCTGCTGCTAGCTAAGAGTGTGTTAAAGAAAAAGATGTACTGTACTTTGCATACATAATAAAATGATTATTACAAAAAATATTAATTACACTAAGTAATAATGTTTTTTTGTTCCTGGGTTGTATTATTTTCTGAGTGCTTATGCTTCCAAAGTATAGACAATGGTTATTATTCCATTCAAATTTTGCTTTAACCTTTGGCTAAGACAGATTAGGGAAGATGTCTTAAAGGTATCTGATAGCTCCAAAGGATACCTGATCAACCAGGCTGTGACTCATACGTCAGGCTGCGAGCAGCCGCGTCCAACAGCCTGGTTGATCAGTCCAGCAACCAGGAGGCCTGGTCGACGACCGGGCCGCGGGGACGCTAAGCCCCGGAAGCCCCTCAAAGTAACCTCAAGGTAAGGTAGCTGCCGACTTATGAAACAAACGTCACAGCTCTAAACAAAGAGTTGGCAGCCTTCAAGACTTCAAGACACCTTCTATTCAAGTTTGAGCAGAATAATCACAATTTTCTATACATTGAAGGCATAAGTACTACTTTAATCAGAAAATAAAACTTACTATACAAGAACAAAAATTGTGTTGTATTGTGTTATCTGAGAATTATGTAATGTTACACAACTGTATTTTTCCTTTAAAATATACAAGATAAGGTTTACACCAGAGCAGTAACATAATGTGATGTACAGATTAGGGAAGATGTCATCAGATACATTTTCTGCATCTATGAAAACCTAAATATTTACAAGGCTTGTGAAAATCCTCTTCATAGTAATTACAGTACTTTACAACTTTATGACAAATATTGATCTGCTGTACACAAAGCTGGAATACTGAGAGCTTGAAAACCAACTACTGTACTGTACTGTATATAGCACTGATACCATATCTGTCACTTGAAACTGAAGTTTGTTTTCCATTTATTTCTAAGGAGCTTTACAATATCTGGGTATAAGCACATAGGACAAAGTTGCACTGACGACCTTCAGCTTTCCTAGACATAATGGATATAATTACTATTACATGAACAGTGATAGTGTTTCTAAAATTAAAGAAATTAATGACTGATGCTGAAGAAATGCTTTAAAGATGCCAGAATTATCCTAGGTAGTGTGAAAGACTTCTTTCTGCTTAGCAGCCTATGATGTCCACTAGTATCTTGCCTGTATCTTTGCAATACAGGCAAGGTCAAAGGTTAATTTAAGGTCAATATTTTTATTTGAACCCTGATTTAAATATGCATAAAATAAAAGGTGGAGAGCCACTCAATAGCTTTAAAATGGTACTGTATCTGAATGAACTCTTATATGTCCCATAGGAGCTGAGCATACTCGTGTAATAAGGCATAATCTTGGAAAATTTATTTTTTGGGGCAAAATTCAAGGTTTCATATCTTTGGAACCATTTTAGCTATAGATCTGAGACAAAAGTCACTCACTTTCTCTCACTGAGCTCTATAAGTGTACCAAGTAAGTACATAATTATCAATTGCATCAACATCGGAGATAGTGCCGGTAACCACCTGGGGTGAACTGACATGGAATGACTTTTGGGTCCTTTATCGTAGTTCGTGTGAATTAATATTTATTTATATATATATATATATATATATATATATATATATATATATATATACAAGAAGGTACATTGGGTTTGTGAGAATACATTGGATAGTACAGTATTTACATTCTTGTAAAGCCACTAGTACGCGCAGCGTTTCGGGCAGGTCCTTAATCTAGCAGATAATTTTAAGTAGCTAATTTCTATCAGAGTTGATAAATAATAATAATAATAATTTTTATTTAGGCAAAGGTACATACATAAAGAGATTTTACAAAGTTTGTTGGCTTTATAGATAAGAGCTAGTACATACAATGCGTAAAGCCACTATTACGCAAAGCGTTTCGGGCAGAAATGATAAAGATACATTGCAAGAGAAAAATGAGACAGCAAAGACAGACTGAGTGGCAGGTCACGTCTAGGCATATTCCCAAAATTTAAAACACATTCAACAAGAAAGTCAAATGAGCGATTTCTTAAGAAATAAAAGAAGTTAGTAACCTCAACCTCCAACAACGGAAGACACAGGATTATCTCTACCTTATGATCCACAACGGCGTCCATTAAAGGTATTGACAACGACCGTGAATTCCTTTATGGCCACAGCTGCACCGGTCCCTCAGCCACAGTTTCCACAAAGTCCTCTGCCACGACTTAATACAAGTCCTGTGCCCAAGCTTCAAGTAGTCGACCGCAGCTTCCACCAAAACAGTCTTGTCCTCCCGCGCATGTGTTCGTTCACGGAACTGCAAGATAACCACATTAATATGACCAAGAGAAAACCTAATGCACAAAAAATTAAAACAAAGTAATTAATTTTAAGAGTATTTATGGAAGAAATATGATTAATAATATGTTTAAATATACCAATATACATATGAAGACTACTCAAGAGGAACCGGACACAGCATCAGCTGATCAACATAAACACACAAACAATTCACAAGAAGACACGACACGACACTTGAAGAGAGGAGACATGACCACTACCTACAAAATTCTCAGACGAATTGACAGGGTAGATAAGGAAAAACTGTTTAACACGGGTGGTCCGCGAACAAGCGGACACAGATGGAAACTTAGTACCCAAATGAGCCACAGAGACGTTAGAAAGAACTTTTTCAGTGTCAGAGTAGTTAACAGGTGGAATGCATTAGGCAGTGATGTGGTGGAGGCTGACTCCATACACAGTTTCAAACGTAGATATGATAGAGCCCAGTAGGCTCAGGAACCTGTACACCAGTTGATTGACGGTTGAGAGGCGGGACCAAAGAGCTAGAGCTCAACCCCCGCAAGCATAACTGAGTACAACCAGGTGAGTACTTCCACAGAGCGTCGTCTGAAATTAATCACCAACAACAACACTTTTGGTGTATGTTAACTGCAATGTGTATGTCTACGGCAATGTCTTATTCATTCAGTGTTGGCTAAGTTTTTATTGTCAATAAATGAGGTGTATGCGTATTTTGACGATTAGATGTGTGTGGTGTAAGAAAGATGAGTATTGGGTATGTCCACTGCATATTTCAATATTTCTCAATATTTCTTATGTTTTTCTTCACTGTCGAGGGTAGCTGAAAAATGAACTCTCCAAAGTTCATTTTCACACTTTATCATTTTATTTTCACTAGGTCTGACGCCTAGAAGCGTTTCGCAAGACACTTCTTGCATTTTCAAAGACAATTTTTACATATTCTGTGTCATGCTTATATTCGTTTTTGGGTGAGGTGACAGGGCACAAATCAATGGGTAAAGACAATATTGTCTTTACCGATTAGTGTAAAGACAATATTGCCTTTACCTATTGTTGTCGTTTACTTATTTTGGCATTTACGGCTTCGGCGGGTAGGCGGTTCCACGAGTTAATAACCCTGTGGGTGAAAAAGCATTTCCTGTTCTCAGTCCTAAATTGTAGCTTGTTGGGCGTGAAATCGTTATTACTTGTTTGCGTTACACCTGACCTTTTAAAGAAATTTTCCGGATCAACAACCTCCAAATTGTTGGAGTTAAATTTGATTACACTACTTAGATTACAATTTCATGCCCGAAACGCTTTGCGTAATAGTGGCTTTAGGCATTGTATGTACTAGCTCTACCTATAAGTCAACCAATCTTTGTAAAAATTTCTTGTATGTATGTACCTTACCTAAATAAACATTTATTTATTTATTTAGATTCAGATTCAGATTCAGATTCAGATGTTTATTCAGGTAAGGTATATATATACAAGTGATGTTACATTAATGGATTGATATATAGATAGAGCTAGTACATACAATGCCTAAAGCCACTATTACGCAATGCGTTTCGGGCAAAAATTTTATTTATATTTAAAATTTATTTATAATCTAGATTACAGTACAAACTGTGTACTCGTATTTTTTTCTAGATTTACACAAATTTAAACAAACTGGCATATAACACTGTTTGGTAATGTGTTTATTTGTGATGTGTGTCTATGTATATATTAACACGTTGTACTGAATGGGGTGAGAATAGCTTGAGCTACCTCATCCCTTTGTGTGTATTTTACCTCAATAAACTTATTTCAATTTCAATTTCAATTTCAAACACATGCGACATTCTCTAGCTATTACTCATTCAGGTTTGCGTGTAATATTGCAGCGAGCATTAGAATCCATGCACACAGAATGAACTTCAAATAAGAACGCAGATTCATGCAAATAGAAAGAAGGCGTAGCCTAGACTGTTAATTATGCATGCACGCTGCGTTCATTATTGACTCAAGTTTCCATTTGCATACTCTAGATGCTAAATTTGCATACAACATATCACCTCTGCAACTTATCCGATAAATAATTTGCAATTTGTGCATGCAAATTATGTATGCTAATCCCACCCATAACACCAGAACAGCCTAAGATAATTACCAAGAGAAAGAGCTAAACCAGTATGATTAGAGAAGTAGGAAGACAAGGATGGGCAAAAGGGGGTGGGAGGAAGAGATGAGCAAAAAGTAAGAATAAGAGAAAACGAAGAAAGAGGAGAGGAAGAGAAGAGTGAAGCGAGGGCGTCACAAGGTGAAAATGATGGAGAGTTACGAAGCTTAGGCTTCCCTCTCGAGGGAATCACATGTTCCTCTCTTCCCTCATGGTGCTACATAGCCTTCCCAAAGCTTGGCGCCTCCGTTTGATAATTACTTACACTTCCTTCCCATCCAGCTACCGGCTAGAGAATAGAATTTATGCTTCAGAATAAGAAGAAAAGATTGATGGAAAAGACAGTGAAGAAAAGAGAGAGACAGTAAGTAGGAGAGGAGATAAAAGGAGTTTTAATAACAGCTTGTTATGCATGACTCGGCTCGAATTGGTGTCACAGCTGCACCTTGAGCTACATAGTGGCACCAGGCTCTTACCTGGCGCCGCCTCAGGCTGGGTGACTCTCAGACACGCCCACATGCACGGCACACAGAAACGACACCGACACGAGGCACGCCCGTAGACGTGACACAAGACACCACGACGTACACGACATAGGCACGCCACACAGACACGACACACACACACCCTCTTACACAACATAGACACACCCACATAAACGACACAGACACGGCCACACACACGACACAGACACGGCCACACACACGACACAGACACGGCCACACACACGACACAGACACGGCCACACACACGACACAGACACGGCCACACACACGACACAGACCAAACACGCAGCTCTCTTACATAAGCTTCGCAAAAAAAAACTATTTCCAGTATAGTTTCCTATTTTCCCGAAATATTAAGCTTGAAAGCTTGTCATTTGTTTCTTCCCCTAAAAAAACATTTTCTAGAATGAACGAGGACACTCCCCTCCCAGGAAGAACGAGAGAGCGCTGGCTCCATACTGAACCGATACGACCAAAATTGGTTAATTAGGTAATTTGAGTCTCGGGTAATTTATCTAGAGGCCAAGCAGAGAGTGTCGAGGTGAGCGATCAATGGATTTATAATGACATAATATAGTGTGTGATTGAGAGAGAGAGAGAGAGAGAGAGAGAGAGAGAGAGAGAGAGAGAGAGAGAGAGAGAGAGAGAGAGAGAGAGAGAGAGAGAGAGAGAGAGAGAGAGATAAACGGGCAGATAAGAACAAAACAAACTAAGAGCCACAGTAGGACAAGGAAGAAGCATGGAAGGAGAGAGCTAAGGACCAACCATACAGGAAGAAAACGACTATTAGTAATAATGAGGTGGCGAGAGAGACTTAAATTAATCTTATCTAGGAAGGTGGCGGGGATTGGAGCATGACTGAGAAGCCTCGGGAAACCTTAACTAGAGATTCCAAGTGAGTTTTTAAATGAAGTCAGAAGAACTGCAACAAATAAGTGGTTTCTCCTCTCGAGTCTAACAGGGCTAATGAGGTAGGGGGAAGGTATGGAGATGAACTGGAGATGGTGGCCCTCCTTGAGGTTACCTTGAGGTGCTTCCGGGGCTTAGCGTCCCCGCGGCCCGGTCGTCGACCAGGCCTCCTGGTTGCCGGACTGATCAACCAGGCTGTTGGACGCGTCTGCGCCCTCAAGTACATTCAGAACACGAAAACGTCAGCTCCAGGAATTCGATAAAAATATAGGAAGGTCATGGCAGCGGGCGCCCTTCGTATCACCCAAGGTGCTGAAGCCACGACGAAGCAATTTGAGGATAATCCTCCACGCTTCACCGTAAGGGCGACCATAGCCACACTTCTCCAAGGAGTCAAACAACACGCAAATATACAAGCAGGGAAAAAGACAGGACCCACTGGACTGTAGACAGGTGTCCCTGAGAACTGTAACCTCACAACTGCCGGAGAGACTCGTGAGACAGAGTGTAACGGACCACCTAGAAAGAACAGACCTTGTAGTCACAACTGCCGGAGAGACTCGTGAGACAGAGTGTAACGGACCACCTAGAAAGAACAGACCTTGTACTCACAACTGCCGGAGAGACTCGTGAGACAGAGTGTAACGGACCACTTAGAAAGAACAGACCTTGTACTCACAACTGCCGGAGAGACTCGTGAGACAGAGTGTAACGGACCACCTAGAAAGAACAGACCTTGTACTCACAACTGCCGGAGAGACTCGTGAGACAGAGTGTAACGGACCACCTAGAAAGAACAGACCTTGTAGTCACAACTGCCGGAGAGACTCGTGAGACAGAGTGTAACGGACCACCTAGAAAGAACAGACCTTGTAGTCACAACTGCCGGAGAGACTCGTGAGACAGAGAGTAACGGACCACCTAGAAAGAACAGACCTTGTAGTCACAACTGCCGGAGAGACTCGTGAGACAGAGAGTAACGGACCACCTAGAAAGAACAGACCTTGTAGTCACAACTGCCGGAGAGACTCGTGAGACAGAGAGTAACGGACCACCTAGAAAGAACAGACCTTGTAGTCACAACTGCCGGAGAGACTCGTGAGACAGAGAGTAACGGACCACCTAGAAAGAACAGACCTTGTAGTCACAACTGCCGGAGAGACTCGTGAGACAGAGTGTAACGGACCACCTAGAAAGAACAGACCTTGTAGTCACAACTGCCGGAGAGACTCGTGAGACAGAGAGTAACGGACCACCTAGAAAGAACAGACCTTGTAGTCACAACTGCCGGAGAGACTCGTGAGACAGAGTGTAACGGACCACCTAGAAAGAACAGACCTTGTAGTCACAACTGCCGGAGAGACTCGTGAGACAGAGTGTAACGGACCACCTAGAAAGAACAGACCTTGTAGTCACAACTGCCGGAGAGACTCGTGAGACAGAGTGTAACGGACCACCTAGAAAGAACAGACCTTGTAGTCACAACTGCCGGAGAGACTCGTGAGACAGAGTGTAACGGACCACCTAGAAAGAACAGACCTTGTAGTCACAACTGCCGGAGAGACTCGTGAGACAGAGTGTAACGGACCACCTAGAAAGAACAGACCTTGTAGTCACAACTGCCGGAGAGACTCGTGAGACAGAGTGTAACGGACCACCTAGAAAGAACAGACCTTGTAGTCACAACTGCCGGAGAGACTCGTGAGACAGAGAGTAACGGACCACCTAGAAAGAACAGACCTTGTAGTCACAACTGCCGGAGAGACTCGTGAGACAGAGTGTAACGGACCACCTAGAAAGAACAGACCTTGTAGTCACAACTGCCGGAGAGACTCGTGAGACAGAGTGTAACGGACCACCTAGAAAGAACAGACTTTATAACAAAACACTGAACACTGGCGACAAACCTATTTAAATCCTACAATAATATGGAAGAAATCAGATAAGAAAGGGAACGGAGTCCCCGAGGCGCAGTGGTAAAACACTCGCCCTGCTCTTCTTCGCGAGCGATTTGGCCTGCCTTCGTATCCTGGCCGGGGACGATTGACTAGGCGGCAATCCTTAACTGTACGCATCTGTTCACCCAGCAGTGAATGGGTAGTTGGTTGTCAAACGATTTGGCGAGTTGTATTCCAACGAAAATTCAGATTAAGGACCTGGCCGAAACGCTATGCATGCGAGTGGCTGTACAAGAATGTAAGAACTCTTGTATATATATAAATACATACAAAGACAGCAACTTTCATATTATTGGCTAGTCAGCTTGTCACACTTTCCTATACATAATGTTCCTGTACACACTAAGACCCGTTTGGAGTAACCGGATGTGTTCTAAGGTGCGCAGGAGACTACCTAATACACCACAAACAGGGAAACAGTACAATCTTCATCTGTCACAACTCGTCTCATAAATTTAGCATCATCCGCGAACATCGACATACAAAGACTCAACTCCTGTAAACATGTCATTTACATATATTAGAAATAGAACTGGTCCCAGCACGGATACTTGAGGTACTCCACTCGTTACTGTTCGCCAGTCCAACTTCTCGCCCCTTACTGTTACTCTCTGGCTCCTGGCTGTGTGTACTCACCTAGTTGTGCTTGCGGGAGTTGAGCTCTGGCTCTTTGGTCTCGCCTCTCAACTGTCAATCAACTGGTGTACAGATTCCTGAGCCTACTGGGCTCTATCATATCTACATTTGAAACTGTGTATGGAGTCAGCCTCCATCACACCACTGCCTAATGCATTCCATCTATTAACTACTCTGACACTGAAAAAGTTCTTTCCAACGTCCCTGTGGCTCATGTGGGTACTCAGTTTCCACCTGTGTCCCCTTGTTCGCGTACCACCAGTGTTGAATAGTTTCGCGTCCCACATGTGTGTGTGTGTGTGTGTGTGTGTGTGTGTGTGTGTGTGTGTGTGTGTGTGTGTGTGTGTGTGTGTGTGTGTGTGTGTGTGGTAATATTTGTAATAATAACAGGCAGGCACACTCAGGCACAATAACATTTATGACAACTATCTACACATAACAATGCTGGGTATTCAATTTATATTATGTCTTTACGATGAGTGGCACAACACCGTGAGAGTGTTGACCTGAGACACGACCAACACAGCACCGTGAGAGTGATGACCCGAGATCAACACAGGATGGGCCGGCCAGCTCTGGTCTAAACAACAGGAAACGGGATAAGTAAACACGTTAGTGGATTACCAGTCGATTACCATCAATGAATCATTAACGCAAGCAGTACCAACGACTTCCATAATAATAATAATAATGAAAAGATCATTAGGAGTCGTGAGGAGGATTCGAACCTGGATACTGCGTACGCCAAAGCACACGCCTTAAACCACTACGCCTCGATATGTTACAAAAGTAATGTAACTTGGGATTCCACTGAATCCTCTAGGGTTCCTGAAGCATCCAGTTGACAGCAAATGAGAGTGTCACACATTACCCGCTTACACTCTAGTGTGGTATCAACTGGTCAATACAAAATATGGATTTATATCGCTGTATTTATCTTCTGTACCAGCAATTGTGCCCTAACAAGTGTTTGCGGGGGTTGAGCTCTGCTCTTTCGGCCCGCCTCTCAACTGTCAATCAACTGTTACTATTTTTTTCACACACACACACACAGGAAGCAGCCCGTAACAACTGTCTAACTCCCAGGTACCTATTTATTGCTAGGTAACATGGGTATCAGGGTGAAAGAAACTCTGCCCATTGTTTCTCGCCGGCGCCGGAAATCGAACCCCGGACCACAGGATTATGTGCCAGCGTGCTGTCCACTCAGCCACCGGCCCCCCCTAATAACAAGTGTTCTTGCACCTGAGCTGGCTGCTGCACCTGTGATTGTGTGGAAGAAAATACATAAAAAATAACCATAATTGTGTGTTAAAATCCTAGATATAAGATAATGCAGTATGATCAAATTGACATGCACTAAAAAAAACAACTACAAAGGAATTTATAAAGTACTTACCTGTGACTGTAGTCCAGCCAAAGCGCTTTATAAATTCATTTATAGGTTCCTGTACCGACACCTGTGTCTACACCTGTAGCAACACCTGCGCCTCCACCTGTACCCATGTGCATGTACCATAATTAGCGCCTCATGGACCTGTTGACCGCTGTACGTCTTTAATTAACTATGACTTTCCCATAATTACGAGGTGGCCAGGTGCTGTGTTCTGTGGGGAAGGCAGAGGGCGAGCCCTCTTACCTAACTCTCTTGTAATATATCCTTACTGCAATATACTCTGATGAAAAGCCGAATTTATTCCTTAAATATTCGTATTTGGACATTCCTGAATAGATTTCTGCGTTGAGCCCTAACTGGTTATGTGTGTGTGTGTGTGTGTGGGTATCTGGCAACTGCTATCAAGGCTGGAAATATAACACGGGCCAGACGCCGGCCTGCCGCACTCCACCTCTGACCAGCGGTGTGACAGGTAATATTTGTAACTCTTCTGGGATTTCTAGCGCCTCTACGCTCTCCCATGGCAGTGTTCACGTCGCTCTAGGAACATGACAATACGTGTCGTGGAATTACGGTTTAATATGTGACAACGGGGTCTATCGGATCGGATAGAGCATGTGGATACTTGAAGTCTGATAAATGGCGGTGTAAGGATTTATATCCGGTGTAAGGATTCTGGTATTCTGTACCCATCGACCTTGGCGTTGGAGAGACTGGCGAATTGTGACGATAAATGGCATGTGATATAGATAATTTAAAGCTTTACCGTATTATAGAGATAAAAGTAGAGATCCTGATGAAGGGGTTGAAGGGCGAGGGAACAGACCCTGTTCATCTGACCGTCACAGACAGAAGACCCGTCCTCGGGCTGTGGTCGTCGAAGCTGAGCCCGTCTCTAAAGAGGCATATTCGTAAATTTCTGTATTGGACAGTCAATGCGGCGACCTGCTCAAAAAGTATTTAAAAATTTTCGGTCCGTTTTTTGTCGGTGAATCTTACTGGTTTTTCTATCCAAATTTGATGACCTAATACAAATATCTGAATTTAATCAAATTGTTTGAAGCAAAAACATAGAATTTTGTGTAATTATTTAAAGAGGAGAAAAAGATTATCTCCCCCCCCCCCACCCCTCTCAAAGTTAATTTACACCATTGGTGCCCCTCCCCCCCCCTATTTGCATATGCAGAATTTACTCATGTCCAAGACTAGCATATACTTGCTGGTTGGCAAGTTGTGGTGGAGTTAACACGCTTAAGGCCGCCACCACAAGGTGTGGTCGACATTTACTGCGTCTTCAACATGTTGAGCAACTTCAACTTGGATAATAACTCTGTTATTTTCACCGTCAGTGCTGCGTGATCTTGTTATGAGTTGTGCATATTGTCCCGGCCTTACTGACGGGGTCTTGTACTTGTCAATACTGAATGAAAATTATTTGCTAGTCTTCTGACAATTTGTACAGTTCATTTGGAACGTTTTGCTAGGTGTCTCTATCTTGTTCGGTTACCAATTTATCATAAATCTGCCATTTGCTCGTTAGGTGTTGTGGTTGAAATATTCTGTCGATGTATATAACTAAAAGGATTTGCCCCAAGATGTTTCCTGTGTTACGCACACATCCTTGCATTCAAAAATTAATTTAAATTTAGGACACTGCTTCTTTTAACTTTCATTTTTTCTAATATTTTGCCGTTTACAGGTATTTCATGTCTATACCTTTTTGAGCCAGTCTCTTATGTGGTACTTCATTAAAAGCTTTAGAGAAATCCATGTACACTTATAAAATGGGCAACTGGTTAGTTTCCAAAAATGTGAGCAGGCTACATAAGGAATTAGGAAAGGTAACTTTTTACCTGCCAATTCTTTTTTTTGCTCTCGGGCCACCAGTCCTGTACCAGTTAGGGCAGTGCAGAGTGTCGGTGGCTAGTTGGTTTTAATTTCCTTCACTCGTTATAACCAGACGAATCCTAGTGTCGGATCCCGGTGGTATTTCTCTGGGGGGACATGTGTAGCCTAATAGGGCTCTAGCTCGGCACGGGACCTGACAATTATGCACGTGACTGACAAATATTTGCACTGTAATTCAATTCCTAATTTCTAATAATGATTCATGTCCTCTATTTCGCAGATGAACATGACTCCCGAGAACATGCCGGTGAAGATGATGCTAGTAGGAATGTTCAGCCTGGTGGCTCTCGCCTCTCCTCCAGTGAGTCTTTCTGATTTTTTCTGAATTATTTTGCTGTGGTGGTTTAGAGAAGTCGGTATTACTCGCACTGTTATACAATTTATCCTGTGCCATCTACCATACAACTTTCGTGGAATTAGTTTCTGATCTAGAATTTAAGACTGTGCAAGCACTACAGCCATACATTTAAGGCAAGATTCTACAAAGAATTAGTCACCATAATTAAATTATAACACAACAAGGATACAGCCGGGAAATGTCTATACATCTCGCAGATTGGTTAGTACTGATTGGCAAGCAACAGCTAAACTATGTAAGAGGTCCACTAAATAGAGGTTGACGGACGATCACATTTCCAGCATGGCGACCTTGATATGACAAGTCACCGTCATCCAGGCCCCGTCACCCACCACGCATCTAGAAAAGTTAAGCGGCGATGCTTGGTTAGTCGGCGTTAAATAAATTAAATTTTCATTAAATGCTGTCGCTATGAAGTTGTGAAGTTCTCCTTAACGTACATGTGTTAATTATCCTAGTTACAGAGTGTTGTATTAGCTAGGTAACGATGTGTACCGGTAACTTTACTATATATATCTGTCGTTTACTTTGACCGTGTGTATTATTGTCGCAGTAATTATATACAGATGGCTGTTTGGAGTAATCTAGTTTACCAACTACGACTAGATATTATCTTGTAATCGGTGTAATACTCTAAACTAAACAAAACCATTTGCATAATCTATAATCATCGATATTTTTTTAAAATTTTATAGTACGTTTGTTTAGAATATTGCCGTAATATATGCTAGGTTTGGTAGTGATCACTGTGATGTGCAGCCTAACAAAAGACAGAGGTTGTGGGGTTCTCGAGGAACGCCCTCAACACCACCACCACCCCCTTCACCACTGTCGTGAGAGCCATTCTCAACAACAGCCTTGGCATGACAAAAGCGTAACAGGTATTGTTAAGGTTTTCCCATACGGTATGTAATTTCCTCGCATCATTCTTATTGTATAAAAGATACTGGGAACACGCCGGCGGGTAGGCCCGTGGCACAGGCTGCTCCTCAGCTGCTTCAAACCAGTCACAGGTGTAGTTTTTGTCCAACCTTTGTCAATGTTTTCCTTGGTGACGTTTACCTTGTCTTTTTATTTGTGATAAACTTCCGCGTACAACCAGCATAGACCCGGGGTCTTGCCTTCGCGGTTCTTGTTACAAAGGCGTTTTACATGTTCCTCAGTTTTAAATGTCTCTGTATTCAGTATTTCAGCAATAGGAGGAATTTTATTCGCACAATTCCAGTGGACATGGTTGGGGCGCCGTTGATCATGCACGGTTGTGCAACATTGTCGGGTCACGTTTAGCGTCAAGGAGAGAGGGAGGAATTGCACAAGTTTTATTCTTAAAATTCGGCTTACTATTTTGTTAATCGTCGAATTGTCTAAATGCAAATTTTACTTTAAATTTAGTGTGTAACTGAAACTCTCGCAGTTTTCATTCTATGTTCATATTTAAAGTGTTGTGAACGAATGAGCTAGCAATTTGTCAACAATGGAGGCAAGATTGACACACGGAGGCAACGGAAGTTGATCCTGGGAGATAAAATTTTCAAAAACTTTTAGAAAAGTCTTAAAAAGGTAACTTTCAGAATTCATGCGCAAGGAGTCGTTTAGAACATTGAACATCACACTATACACTTTATGAACTTTGACAGTTCCTCGGCATTGAGCCCTATCTCCTCAAACACAGACATGTCATATTTGCCACGAGACTTACCGGTGTGAGCGGCGGGAACTACGAATATGAACTAGAAGCGCTGACTAATCTCATCGTGACTTAACTCGCCAACTGTAAAAAGCACTTCTACCGGCCTTGTTCCCATTCCAAAGAGCTGCCGAGCTGCCATGTCCTCTGATAACTGTAGACCTATGGTCCTAAACGTTATTAATCAAAATATGACAATTTATTAATTGGCATTTAAAGCTTACGAATTACACGAATTAGAATTTGCCTTTTCAAAGGTGAAAACAAAACTTGTTACTCAACAACGCTTTGATGTATTGGTGACTGAACCTATTCAATACTGCAACTCGTAAGGTAGCTTCGTTCTGTTTCTGGAAGCTTCCAAAACTTTTGGCGCAGTTGAACTTGCCCAATTTTTTTCAGAGAATTGCTCGGTAAATTCTGAAATCAATTTCACCAAACAAATTTAGAAAATGTACAAATAAGGCTAAAACGAATTATATTTACCAGGTCAGAGGCGGTCAGGGGTACATGTACCCGTCCTGGTGACATCACATCCTGTGTTAACACTGCTGTAACTATTAGTCGGCAACGTAACTAGGAGCTGGCAGGTCTGGCGACTCCTCGTTAAGTCTGTTCGTATCTTCATAAGGGGTAATATGATTGTCTATACCAGGGGTGGGAAGCCTTAAGGCCGCATGCGGTGTCTTGGTAATCAATTTAAATTAATGAAACTTGATCTGCAAGTTGTTTGACCTGTGAATGGATACAATGTGCGGCCTTAAGTCTTCGCAAAGTTAAATATGGTGGTGGTATGAGGAAGTGTTGGCCAGCCCTGGTCTCTGGTCACTATACCCTGACCTAACATGCTCCCTCTACCTCCACGCAGGCCCCAGCTGCCGTGGTGGACTTGGTGCCCGGCAGTAACCAAATCAGTGGCAGGCTGGAAATCCACCGCAGTTATAATGGACTCGTCTTCGTAGGTAGGTCAGCCGTCCAGTGAATAAAGGTCCGCCATCATAGTAGGGGTAATTGTGCACATCACTGCTCAGCACGTGCCAGAAATTTTCTTTTACAATAAATAAGACATTGCAGAGTGTTGTCTAGAGAACCTCAGCTATGCTGCCTTCCCTTCTCGCATTAATCAACCTGCTGGCTTTTATTCCTCCATCCCCCCCCTCCCCTCTATAGTGTCCTGTTTGTGGGCGTGACTTTCTGTTATCCGCTAAAAGGGCCGCCTTCTGACAGGTACGGTGTATGGGCTGACTCCAGGTAAACACGGCTTCCATGTTCACGAGAAGGGTGACCTGGGCGACGGGTGCAAGGCTGCTGGAGGCCACTTCAACCCCTTCAAGGTAAGTGTTGTGCTTCGCCTTAGCGTCCCCGAGCCGCGGGGACGCTAAGCCCCGGAAGCACCTCAAGGTAACCTAAGGTGGGCCAGTCACTACGCCTTTACATACAACCTTTGGTGTGACTCGGTTCCTGCTGTGTTGTGTAAGTGTTACACGATAAACGGTTATCTTGTACAATCTGCTGTATACTGTAACTACTTGGGGTTCGGTGACACTTTTGCATTTGTTCACTAGTCCCGTTCTCGCAAATTTAATAAGTCAATATTGACTTATTTAATATGTGCATAGGTGACATACTTAACATAATAAGATACCCTTAAAAAGATTCATAGAAAACACCGACCTTACCTAACCTACTTAGTATGTTAAGATAAGCATCTTATTGCTTCGTAATTACAATTATTACCTAACCTATAATAGGTATAGGTTAATAATTGTAATTACGAAGCAATAAGATGCTTATCTTAAGATACTAACAAGGTTAGGTAAGGTCGGTGTTTTCTATGAATCTTTTTAAGGGTATCTATTATGTTTAGTATATCACTTATTAACTATGTGCATAAGTCAATATTGACTTTACGAATTTGCGAGAACGGGTTGCACTAGTGCCAGACCTCGTATAAATTACCAGTTAAACACCTTGCACATTGCTGGACTATGTCATACTCTTTTATTAACCACCTAGCCACTATTGAAAGGTGAATAATAACTTTAAAGTCTTTTTTATTAATTTTCCTCCACCTGCAGAAAAATCATGGAGCTCCTGAGGACTTGGAGCGTCATGCCGGCGACTTCGGCAACGTGGTGGCCGACTACCAAGGCGTAGCAAGCATTTACGTCAGTGACAACCACGTCTCCTTAGATCCCTCGTCCCAGTCTTACATCGGCGGCCTGGCCATTGTCGTCCACGCCGGCGTTGATGATTTGGGCCGCGGGGGCAACCCTGAGAGCCTCAAAACCGGCAATGCCGGTGCCCGCTCGGGCTGTGGCATCATCCAGGTGGTGCAGGCGCCAGCCTACCAGCCTCGGCCCCCACAACACTCACACCAACGGTTCCCACACCAGACCCCATACGGCTAACGTGTAGCCTCTTGGACCAAGTTACGCACTATGTAACACATGTTTGAATTTGAGTTTTTTTTTTTTTTTTTTTAGCGCGTAGTTTAAAATTTTGGTTTCACCTTTTATAGATTTTTTTCAGAAATAATTTTTGTACTTTGTCTTTATACAATGCAACCTTTACCTAGGAACAGGTGTTGGCTCCAATTTTTTAGGTTGAGAGAGAAATAAATGTAATGTTTAATTTACTCCAACTATACCAAATGTAATTAATAAAATGGACAAACTCAAAATATGAAATTTTAAAATTTAAGCACTTTGAGTTCAAGTATGTTTATTGAGACAAGAAAGAAATCTCAAAGGGATGGAATAGCTTAGGCTACTTCTACCCCCCCAGTAGAAGATCGCAGTTTTTTTTTTTATATATACAAGAGTTGTTACATTCTTGTACAGCCACTAGTACGCGTAGCGTTTCGGGCAAGTCCTTAATCCTACGGTCCCTGGAATACGATCCCCTGCCGCGAAGAATCGTTTTTTCATCCAAGTACACATTTTACTGTTGCGTTAAACAGAGGCTACAGTTAAGGAATTGCGCCCAGTAAATCCTCCCCGGCCAGGATACGAACCCATGACATAGCGCTCGCGGAACGCCAGGCGAGTGTCTTACCACTACACCACGGAGACTGTTGAAGGCTTTTGTGAAGGCTTTCATCTTTTCTGGGCCACTCATGGCCAACCCATCCTCCTGTTTACATGGTTATTGTAACTATGTGCACCATAGTAGAAAAATTAACGCACTACGCAATTAGGTAGAACTTTGTACTATTCACTTTATATAGTCCGAAAGAACTAAAACATTAAATATTCCTATAGCAAACACTATATTAGGCCTCTGATATCGTGCATTAGGCCTAGGAAGGTTAGTTTAGTTTGTCTTTTGCAACATAACTAGAAAAATCTTGTCCGGTTTGTCCAAATTCAATAAGATTCCCGCCCAAAGGTCGGCCATCTTGGCGCGCGGATTGAACGTTCCTGGCTGGACTTTCTTTCCACACCTTACCTGGAACTTATCTTTGAATTCGGCTGGCTTCTTTGGGCCAGTGTGTGCTCACTGCAGCTACCCAGGGGCTCACAGCACCGGGGAAGGCCGGAGCCTCCCTAATGGACGCCTCCCCGAGCGGGGGCGCCATGTACGTTGACAGCAAGTCCCAGAGAGGAAAACGTCTACTGGAAAATGAGTCGGCTGATGCTGCCCCAGAGCGAGATGCTAAAAGAATGTCTTCCCCTTCAGAAGACCTTAGTCTTGTGGTACCCCGTTCCTCGTTTGTGGTAGTCCTAATCCAGTCAGAATCAGGTTAGTGCGTCTTTGCAAATCCTCGTACCTTAGGTGCAGCAATCGAGGCTTCCGTATTGTGGCCACATTGCCTGCCTGAGACCATACGTACCCTGGGTAGGGGTGCAGCACTGAAGCTACATATCAGAAAGGAGGCTCTATCACACATCTGTGTATCCGACATTATTAAGTTGGGGGACTGGCCTGTCAGGTGCCGACAGGTATTGTCGCAGGAGTCGTCGTCTCGGGCCCGGTATGGGAAGATTGGCCCAATTGACCAGAGTGTAGATGTGGATGACATCCAGGCCGCTCTGCAGGTATTAGGGGGCTCATCAGCGGGGATTATTGGAAGTTACCAGGATTCGCGGAGCAGCAAGGCCGACATCCATAGTCCGTGTAAAGTTCGATGGGCCCCTCCCTGACAGAGTGGCACTACACAGGACCTCGTATCAGGTTCAGCCCTACAATTTCCCTGTGTTACGATGTTACGCTTGTCATCTATTGGGCCACAGTCGCCTGACCTGCCGTAATGCAGCACGTTGTGCAAACTGCGGCAAAACAGGCCATTCAGACAGAGATAACGGTGGGTGCTCTGCTGCACCTCGCTGCTTTTTATGCCATGGCCATCATAAGGTTACGTCTAAGAGTTGCCCTGTAATCTTGAGGCCCTTCAGTTGGACATCGATCATAAAACAGCGGGGACACCTCGACATGAGCTGTTCCAGAGGTTGCGCACCCTCAATCAGCCTATCTCTTCTCGCCTCCAGGTTCCCCCTGGTCGGGCCTCTTCACAAGTAGGAACTAGCAGACGCTCTTTCCTGTCCCAGTCACATGCCTCATACGCCCAGGTTGCTAATAGATTTTCCCTCCTGGGTAGCCTTGACATTGACGGAAACTCATCCACGTGTAACACTGTAAAAGTGTTTGGTTTAGTTTAATACATACATAGAGTATATGAGTCAGAGACAAGAATTTGAGAGGCGCCAAGTTGTCGGCCGGAGACTCGCACCTCTAACCGTTAATGACCTCAAGTGACCTGAGGTCAGATCATGCGAATTTCACCTTACTTCTACTAATCTCTTAATTGGAGCCTGGTAGCCTTCAAACTTGCCGACGTTTAAGGAGTGGCTTGGTAGAAAGCCGGAGGCTATCTACTTGTGGGCGGAGTTAGCTACTAGGTTTCCCAATAAATACTCGGAGAACTACCGATTCGAGATCATTAAGAGAAGAACGGCAGCCAGCAGAGCAGAGAAGACAGCCCTAGCAGGGAGGCTGTCGGCCGGCAGGGCGGGAGTCTCCGTCAACTACAGACCCCCCCCTCTCTCTATTCAACTTAAACTCAGTCCTCGGTGAGTGAACATTTAGGTGACTTGGTCGTGTTTTACAAGTGTTGTGTGACGATCAGGGGCAGTCAGTTGTAGTGTTCTCAGATTCTTGGAGGATGACTCACTTTGAATATTAATCTTTAACGTTTTAATTGGATTGCTTAAGTTATGATATTTATCATGAAAAATATAATTGTTGAATTTATTATTTAAATGAACTTTATTTTGTTCCCTAGAGATTTTGAGTTGAGGTGAGAAAGCCTCTGTGGTTACTGGTTTCATGGTTTAGAATGAGTACATGTTAAAGATGGGACCATACTAATAATGATCTCTTGATAACATCTTTGGTGAATATTGTGATACAGACAAGTTCCATTCCTTGTCTTGTATGTAATGATCATGAATGGATGGTGGCAGCATTTCGTCTTCTACTATCTACTCTTCTACTATCTACCCTTCTACTCCTACCTATCTACACCTCTCCCTCCACCCCTCTCTAAACTCTCACTTTCAACTAATGACCCTCCTCGCTCCTCCCACCTCCCTACCTCTCACCCCAAACCCTCACTAATTACTTCACTATTCATTTCTTTCCTTTCGTTTTCTCTTATACGTTTGTGGCAATGATTCTGTATACTAGAGTTCTCTCTAGAGTTCCGGGTAGCTGGTCAAGTTACGGCGCCTTATAGTCTTAGCACCTAGGTAGTCAAATACCTAGGTTACAAGGTGTTGAACGAGAGAGGTTACCTTAGGAACTCTGGGAGTGCTCTAGAATAGTTAGCTAACTGAGGACGGGATAACGGACTAGAGAGAGCTGTTTCCCCCGGCCTCGTTAGTTAACTGGGGGGTGGAATAATGGACAAGATAGAGCTATTTCCCCCCAACCCCCGTTACACACGGATACAGACATGGACGCTCAGTCTCGGCCGGAGCCTAGCACTCGTCACCCTCCTGCCTCTCCTCAAAGAAGCCAACACCGGCGTCGTCAACACACCCATCGATCAGGAGGTACTGCTCCAACAGACAGTCCTGATGATCCTCTGGTCCCCCAGGCACTTTCCCAAGGGATTGTGACACCGGGGGAACATATGAGGCCCAGAGTGAGGCTCCCACCAGTCGCAGACGCCGTCAAGAGAGTTCGCGAGCCGACCACCTTCCGTCAGGCAGAGAGAAGCATAGATCAACATCCTCTGGACTGGAAGTCATTGATACCACATATTTTACTTACTTTGTATGAGGGTTTTATGGCTTTTTCTAGTGGTTCCCCCTGTGGAGACGTCTGTGCACTGGTGGTCAAAAAGTTAGCTGTTGTATTTCAGGGATAATGGCACCCCATCCAGAGAATACTGTGGTGTTTTGGAATGCCCGCTCCCTTTTTAAGAAGACGCAATTTCTACGCAATTTTATCGCCAGTGCACCACCGTTGATCGTGGGACTCTGTGAGACTTGGCTTATAGACGATCTTACAACGTCTATGGTATCGCCATAGACGTTGAGACGGAGCTTGGAGCATAGCAGAGCTGAGTGAGGCCGGAGTCGCGGAGCTCTGTGGGAGAGCGTGGCGGCTCGATGGGGAATAGTGAGTGTGTCAACTCGATGGGGAACGAGAGCGTTGTTGCTCGATGCGGTCGTAGTCTGCTGTCTGTTCTGTGTCGAAGCTGTAGTGTCTTGGGGTCGATTAGAACTACATACGCCAAATGCTACATTCTCCAGCATAACATAACCCAATCTAAAGAATATTTAAGATCGGAACAGAGACGTCAGGAAATCTCGTCTAAAAAGAACAGATGGATAATAGGGGACAAAAAAGGAACACGATGGAAGTTATCCATCAGACTAGTAAAGAAGGCTGCAGGAGCACAAGGCTTAAAACAAGGACGGACTAAATGCCATCCCATCGAGCATTACACACCGACAGCCACCCACCAAGCCCTTCACAACGACAGCAACAAATCATCTCAGAGCTAAGTCAGTCCCTGACAAAATGAATTATTAAAACACATTCTGATAAATTATTTTTATAGCGACCTTCTATATAAAGCTGATGGTTGTCTTTGATAACTATATGGCGGTGACCTCTCGGTGGTCGTTGCATGACGTTAACTTCTAGGTGATCGCGGCAAGGTGGTGGCCTCTTTGTGGTCGCTGCAGGGTGGTGACCTCCTGATAGTTCATAATTCATAATATTCATAATTTTATTCATAAGAATGCGTACACAAATACCAAAAGAGGTAGGAACAGGATTTACCCATATAAGGTATGCCACTAATTAACAAATAGTTTCGATCTAAATTTGGAATAATTAGATACAAAATTATTTATGAATTATGAATTATATAAGGGGTATAATGGGGAACACACTTGATTCAACAAGAGAAGTAGGCTAACATAAGTGGGAATGTTGAAGAAGGGTAACAAATTATATACAATATAAAGGTGATACTGAATGATTACAGGTGTAACGGTTCTATTGTTACGTAAAGTATGGTGACAAATAAACACAGACACTAAGATACTATATATATATTTGGTCGAATATACAGAAGTACACCGGTGATACTTTGGTGTGAGTTGAGCGCACTGAGCGTCGGTACAGTACAATACAATACAATTTTATTTAGGTAAGGTACATACATACAATAAATATTTACAAGGATTGTTATACTTGTAGGTATAGCTAGTACATACAATGCCTAAAGCCACTATTACGCAAAGCGTTTCGGGCATCGAATCAAGTATCTCGCAAGTGTCTGCTCTAGACCACACTTGAAAGTAGACTCTGCTTTAATGTTTAGAGAGAGAGAGAGAGAAGATTAAGCCACCCAAAAGGTGGCTTGGGCATGAATAGCCCATAAGTGGTGGACCTTTTGAGCCATTTCCAGTATCAATAGATGATACTGGAGATCTGTGGAGGTGCGACTGCACCCTGCATGACGGGAGATGTCTCCCGTCTTTAATGTTTGCTATCCTGCTGCTTATATGCCCGGGCAACTCCTCACCGTATTGCCCGGGCAACGCCTCACCTCATTCATCTCCAAAGGTTAACAGGAATATTAACAATGCATTTGGAGCGAGTATATTATTGGGATAATCTACTCGCTACACAGGCATAGACTATCATATTATGGCATCTGTAGTTTTAGCAACAGTACATACAGTAGTTTTTAACATTAATAACAAAGAAAATAAAGGTGCAATTTATTAAAGCTGCTAGAATATAACAGAGTAAAGTACAATAGTAACATTTAATTGTTTAATTGGGCAAACGTAAAAATAATATAATATCAAATGATAGCCCGAAACGCTGCGCGTACTAGAGGCTTTACAAGATTGTAAATACTATGCTATGTATTCTCTCTAACCCAATGTACCTTCTTGTATATAAATAAATAAATAAATAAATAAATAAATTACAATACAATAAAATTGTATTGTGTTGTATTGTATTGTATAGCCTGATGATGGTCGCTGAATGGTGGTAGCCTGATGTTGGTCGCTGCAGGGTGGTGACCTCCGTGGAGGACGAGCTGGAGGGGCGACAGGGCTGGAGACTCCTACTACAGGAACACCCTCAGGACCTCCCAGAGTGAGGCTGGTGGCCCTGGAGGGGCTGTGTGCGTCCTGGCACCACTGCCACTACCCCTAACCTGTCTACGGTGGCACCATTGGTGGGTCGGGGTGCTGTGGTGCCTGGCACTACCCTCGTCCCCACCTCACACTTGCTTTATATAATAATTCCCGTTGTCGGTGACAGGAAGCTTGCGTATATATATATACTTTAAGCTTGTATCCAGGTCCCCTCCCCCCTCGAAGCCGAATTATTGACCCTAGAATTCAACCCCCACAACAGTATGTTGGGTGAACTGAAGCATTAGGTGAAAGGATAGGTGCCCAGCCTTTTGTAGCCCACCTGGGCATCGAACCCGAGAACTCCGATTGTAACTCTAGAGTGAAGCCAACTGCACTACGAGAACCTATAGTTCAGAGTGGCAGTAATTACAATTATTACTTAACCTATACCTATTATAGGTTAGGTAATAATTGTAATTAGGAAGCAATAAGATGCTTATCTTAACATACTAAGTAGGTTAGGTAAGGTCGGTGTTTTCTATGAAGCTTTTCAAGGGAAACTATTATGTTAAGTATGTCACCTATGCACATATTTAATAAGTCAATATTGACTTATTAAATTTGCGAGAACGGGTTGCAGTAGATAGTAGATGATGGGGGGGGGGAAGGGGATTATCAGGGGAAAGCGCCAAGAAATAGAAGCCTAATCTAAGCGCATAAGAAATATTGCCGGAACAACCGTGGACATCTTCAAGAGGAAAGTAGATTTATTCCTCCAAGGAGAGCCGGACCAACCGGGCTGTGGTGGGTATGTGGGCCTGCGGGCCGCTCCAAGCAACAGCCTGGTGGACCAAACTCTCACAAGTCGAGCCTGGCCTCGGGCCGGACTTGGGGAGTAGAAGAACTCCCAGAACCCCATCAACCAGGTTTAGATTAAGATAGTCTTATGCCATGTTAATCATTCCAAATTTCCAGTTGTTCGATAAATTTTGCTTTGTATCTATTACAAAGATATACAGACACTATTATACAGATATACAGATTACAAAGATCTATTACAGATACCCTGTATCTATTACAGGGTAGCTGTAATAGATACCTGGTCACAGATGTGTATAGTGGCTTAAATAGTGTTTGTACATTTCCTGTCATTTAATGGGCGGTAATACATTATTTTATGGTTTTTATATGAAGTGTATATGTCGTACCTAGTTGCCAGAACTCACTTCTCAGCCTACTATGCAAGGCCCGATTTGCCTAATAAGCCAAGTTTTACTGAATTAATATATTTTCTCAATTTTTTTTCTTATGAAATGATAAAGCTACCCATTTCATTATGTATGAGGTCAATTTTTTTTTATTGGAGTTAAAATTAACGTAGATATATGACCGAACCTAACCAACCCTACCTAACCTAACCTAACCTATCTTTATAGGTTAGGTTAGGTTAGGTAGCCGAAAACGTTAGGTTAGGTTAGGTAGTCGAAAAAACATTAATTCATGAAAACTTGGCTTATTAGGCAAATCGGGCCTTGCATAGTAGGCTGAGAAGTGCGTTCTGGCTACTAGGTACGACATATACACAACATATACAGTAGTTAAGACTTTCACAGTCTTGATTGAGAGCAGATAGAAGCTATACAGCAGTCAGTTTTTGGTAAAGTCATAACATATTATATACTGTACACATATACCTTACCTTGAGGTTACCTTGAGGTGCTTCCGGGACTTAGCGTCCCCGTGGCTCGGTCGTCGACCAGGCCTCCTGGTTGCTGGACTGATCAACCAGGCTGTTGGACGCGGCTGCTCGCAGCCTGACATATACCTATGTAATAAACGTGTACAGTATTAAAAATAGACACTGAATATGTAATAAGTAACAAAGATTTTGCCTGAATTTACCTGAGGGGGGGCCACTAACTAGTGGCTTTGATTGTGACAGGAAGCTGCAGACTTGTCAGAGTCCCCCCCCCCCATTGTTCGAATGTTTATCAACTGAATTTTGAACTGAAGTAATGTCTTGGCATTTATAGCTTCAGTGGGTAGGTGGATTTATGGGTTTATAATCCTTTGGGTGAAAAGCATCTCCTGTTTTCTGCCCCCAACATTGTGGTGTGTTGAGCTTGGAGCTGTTGCCCCATGTTAGTAGAAACTGCATTAATATTGACCAATTTGTTCAGTAGTGTACTGGGGCCAGATTCACGAAAGCACTTGCGCAAACACTTACGAACCTGTACATCTTTTCTCAATCTTTGGCGGCTTTGTTTCCAATTATTGAACAGTTAATGAGCTCCGAAGCACCAGGAGGCTGTTTATAACTATAACAACAGTTGATTGGGAAGTTTTCATGATTGTAAACTGTTTAATAAATGTAACTAAAGCCGTCAAAGATTGAGGAAAGATGTACACGTTCGTAAGTGCTTGCGTAAGTGCTTTCGTGAATCTGGCCCCTGTATTTTACAGGTCTCGATGGGATCAGCTGTGTCTGGTTTGAAGTGTTGCTACTCGTGTGGCTCAACCATTCCTGGTATGAGAAGTGATTTAGTAATGCGATCTCGAACCCATTGTTGATGTGACGACTTATATAGAATTTTGTAACTAGCTCATCAAGATTGTAACTTGCTTAGCTAAATGAATTGTGGGGTTCAGTCCCTGAGCTCATTATGTGCCTCTGTAACCCTTTCCACTACTGCCCACAAGATGGGTATGGGGTGCATAATAAATGAACTAAACTAAAAAGTAATGGGGTGACTTTTGTTGCTCTTGTTCTTACTTCACATTTGTTGTGTGATAACTTTTTTGGTCGCTCATCATGTATATACTTGTACTCACCTAGCTGAGCTTGCGGCGGATGGGCTGTGGCTCTTTGGTCTTGCCTCTCAACTGTCAATCAACTGGTGTATAGATTCCTGAGCCTATTGGGCTCTATTTATTTATATACAGTATTTATACTGTATATACAAGAGTTCTTACATTTTTCTACAGCCACTAGCACGCATAATATTTTGGGCAAGTTCTTGATCCTAATTTTGACGCACACACATCCCCAGGAAGCAGCCCATAGCAGCTGTCTAACTCCCAGGTACCTGCTTACTGCTAGGTGAACAGGTGCATCACGGTGAAAGAAACTGCCCATTTGTTTCCGCCTCCACTGGGGATTGAACCCGGACCCTTACGACTACGAACCCCGAGTGCTGTCCATTCAGCCGTCAAGGCCCCCCCCCCCCATCATATCTACATTTGAAACCATGTATGGAGTCAGCCTCCACCACATCACTACCTAATGCATTTCATTTGTTAACTACTTTGACACTGAAAAAGTTCTTTCTAACAAGGGAGCCAGTCGGCCGAGCGGATAGCACGCTGGACTTGTGATCCTGTGGTCCTGGGTTCGATCCCAGGCGCCGGCGAGAAACAATGGGCAGAGTTTCTTTCACCCTATGCCCCTGTTACCTAGCAGTAAAATAGGTACCTGGGTGTTAGTCAGCTGTCACGGGCTGCTTCCTGGGGGTGGAGGCCTGGTCGAGGACCGGGCCGCGGGGACACTAAAGCCCCGAAATCATCTCAAGATAACCTCAAGATAACATAACTGTGGCTCATTTGGGCACTAAATTTCCACCTGTGTCCCCTTATTTGCATACCACCCATGATATCTTGCTTTCACATTGCATTCCAAGACTACAGTTCATATAATGTAACATAATTTGTTTGCCAGAAATTAATTATGGATGTGATTGAATAGACAGTCTTACTCAGACATTACAGTCCCTTACTATGAGCAAGTTAGGTTCTGAGAATGTGTATGTAAAGCAGTTGTTCAGAATGCATTCAGTTTACATTATTTCTCAATGAAAAATGCGATTCAGTGTACAAATATTTGGGTTATGTTGCCTTCTTTGGTACGAATTAAATTCGTACATCAAGTTTCTACTGTATCAGTAATGACCCAATTTTCATGCAATAAGATGTAATGCCCTAATGTGTGTGTAATGTTCACACACTTGGTATTGCATGTCAGCATTACAAGCTGAACTCCGTCTCCGTGGCAGTGGCAGTCATGGCAGTCTCCGTGGTGTAGTGGTAAGACACTCGCCTGGCGTTCCGCGAGCGCTATGTCATGGGTTCGTATCCTGGCCGGGGAGGATTTACTGGGCGCAATTCCTTAACTGTAGCCTCTGTTTAACGCAACAGTAAAATGTGTACTTGGATGAAAAAACGATTCTTCGCGGCAGGGGATCGTATTCCAGGGACCATAGGATTAAGGACTTGCCCGAAACGCTACGCGTACTAGTGGCTGTACAAGAATGTAACAACTCTTGTATATATATATATCAAAAACTACCATAGGTGCTTGTGGCCAATTTGTATTCAAGCTGACATTTGTCAGTACTGTACTGTACTGATTTTGTTACTTGATCCATACAGTTGTTTGGCCTATTGCATTGTAATAAACAATGGATTTGTCTGCTAGTTGTTGTTTGTGCTCTCTTTGCTTTCTTCAAATTCATCTGAGAGTTCCCATCTAATGACAAATTAATGGCTTCTGTTTGATAGCCCAAGACTGTTGCAGTTTCAGTGTTTATAACTAGCCAATAATTGAAACATTTTTGTGTCTACATTTTTATTAATGTATATTAATGTTACTTGGCAATCTTTTTCCATAAATCTACTACTTATAGCAAACTAATACTTACAAAGTTCTTTTATGAAACAAAATTTACTCAATTTACAGCCATTGTTCCATTATCAATTGTAAACTTTGTACAGCCTGCTGAATTGTGCATTACAAAAATGTAACAAATTTGGATAAAAAGCAATGGAAAAGTGCTTGAAAAGACCTAAAAATTATCTTAAGATTTTAAATTTCTATAAAAAACTGCAGTCATAAAACCTCAATAATATTCCTTTTGATTATATGATTGATTCTTTATATATTGTACAGCAGTTTTTTTTTTTTTTTTTATTTTGTTGTTTGAGATTCACTACCTGGAACAAAATGTTCCAAGTAGCACGGGCTATGGTGAGCCCGTAAAGTTCTAAAGTTATGTTTTTTAACAGTTAGTATAGGTATGTGGGATGGGTATAAGTAAAAGGGGTGGGGGAATAAGATGTGGAGTTGTAGAGTAGATGAAATGCAATACATTTAGGTAGTAAAAAGATATAAGTAGAATGCCTAAGAAACTTCTAATGAGACAGGTTTCCAAGGGGGTGAAATAGATCATATTGTAGAGGCAGGTGACTAGTATTTTGGATGGGAAAAATAGAATAACATAACATACCAGTCTCCGTGGTGTAGTGGTAAGACACTCGCCTGGCGTTCCGCGAGCGCTATGTCATGGGTTCGTATCCTGGCCGGGGAGGATTTACTGGGCGCAATTCCTTAACTGTAGCCTCTGTTTAACGCAACAGTAAAATGTGTACTTGGATGAAAAAACGATTCTTCGCGGCAGGGATCGTATTCCAAGGACTTGCCCGAAACGCTACGCGTACTAGTGGCTGTACAAGAATGTAACAACTCTTGTATATATCTCAAAAACAAAAAAAAAAAAAACAATATTAAATGTACAGTATATTAAAACAAGTAGATCATCCCCCTAATTGGAAGCTGCCAGGCAGGCATCGGTTCTATAAATAGTTAGATTATTGATAAGGCAACATTCGTTACAAGGTTTCATCAACAAAATCTTATCAGTTCCATTGTGTTGCAGGTTAGGCTTTGGAGACAAGTCAGTCAACATTCAAACCCGTTAGCAGAGTTGGAAATATAGTACAGGTCTGACTATTATTGTACTGTTGACTGAAATGGAAAAACCTGAAAATGTGTAGAGGAGACAAACTAGTGACCAAAGTGTGAGTGATGTACGAGTGGTAATTGTCGGAAGAAATTGCAGTGAAGCTTTCCAAACAAGTCATTGCAGCCATTTGAGAAGCTGTGAGGTGTTCAAGATGACTACTGAGGACAAATTTAAGGCAGCTGTCAATATCATCAGAAGTTTGCCAAAAGATGGTATGTAGCACTTTCATACATGAGATGGTTAACCAGTTGATCTAGCGATGAATTCATTGTTTTTATTATATATACATATGTTCAAATTAAAAAGTGCTTGCTTAATATTTTTGTGTGCTCGTTTATGAGAGAGATTTACACATGGGTGGAAATAGAATGAGGGGAGAGCAGATGGAAGTTAGAAAACTAACTTTATTCACATACCCAGTATACAGTATACTAGAAGGTACTATGAGTTGGTGATTAATTGGCACATTCTTTCAGAGCCACTAATACACATACACAGAATTTGCAGGGGTTTTAAAACTAGACAGTGACACATTCAGTCTAGAATAAAAAAAATGAATTTGACAGATCTATAATGAGTCGCATGCAATGAGATCCACTCAAATGAACTCGAAACACATTAATACCAATTACCACCACCAGGTGGTCTGGCCCTGGCTCCCAGCCTGCTCCCAAAGTCAGTTCTGTTCGTGATGTTGGTGTCGTCACACCAACTACTGTAGTAGCGTTTCTGGTCATGGCAGCTCGTGAGTGAGCGTCAATGCTTCACGCAAAGTGGCAGCCCTCATTAGATTTGCTTGTTCAATGGGGTTCATTTGCTTTGTTATATTGTTTCCAATTTTAGTGTAAATTTAGCAACCCGTTCTCGCAAATTTAATAAGTCAATATTGACTTATTTATTAAATATGTGCATAGGTGACATACTTAACATAATAGATACCCTTAAAAAGATTCATAGAAAACACCGACCTTACCTAACCTTGTTAGTATCTTAAGATAAGCATCTTATTGCTTCGTAATTACAATTATTACCTAACCTATAATAGGTATAGGTTAAGTAATAATTGTAATTACGAAGCAATAAGATGCTTATCTTAAGATACTAACAAGGTTAGGTAAGGTCGGTGTTTTCTATGAATCTTTTTAAGGGTATCTATTATGTTTAGTATATCACCTATGCACGTAGTTAATAAGTCAATATTGACTTTACGAATTTGCGAGAACGGGTTGAATTTAGAGGCATGTTTTAATTCTAGCTTGTTGTGTGGGTTTAGCTCTTGTGTTTTGGGCTGCATGTACTCAGGTTTTACTTCCCTGTGTGCCCGCTATCTCTGCTCATGCACAGCCAGAGTATCCTTTTCATGTGGATTTGTCTCGGTGAGGCCGGCCCACCAGGGTAGGGGCCTTGTCTTGGGCTGTTCAGGGGTCTCATTTCCTCTGTTGGGCCCTCGGTTAGGGACGTTCTTCAGTTATTGGGGGTTTGGGGGCTTGCAGTGGAACCTCGAGTGACGAGCGACTCCAGTTACGAGCATTTAGAGTAATGAGCGAGCCACTCGCAGAAAATTTGTCTCGATTAACAAGCAAACCACATGGTGCTTCCTAGCAATCCTGCTGGTTCTTGGACACCTCCGACGACAGTGTTGTTGTTTCACAAGACGAGCTTTTCACATGACGAGTTCGGTGCCGGAACAGATTAAATTCGTTTATCAAGGTGCCACTGTACTTGTTTATAAAGCACGCTGCAGGCGGCTCTAATAGTCAGGTGGTTAGGCTATGGTTATTGACGGTTCATTTAGAGAGCAGCCCTAGTGTCTCTCTGGGGGCCACTCTTCCCTGTATCAGTTTAAGGATATCCCTCAGCTCATGTTTTTCTTAAGACAGTTTTCCTGTTGGCTCTTGCTTATGGCTGTTAGGTAGGAAAGCTTCTGACTCTTCTCTTGAGGTGATGGGTTCTATTCTTTTAGCCTTGGTGGGTGGTTAGTTAATTTGTAACCATTTCCTCCTTTTCTGGCAAAGAATGAGTTAGTGGGCTTCTGGAGGGGTCCTTTGGTGGTCAATGCTTGACTGGTTCGCCAGGGGCGCATCATTGATTGTGCCCTATGACAACTTTTTGCCGCTACCTGCATGTCACCAATTCTGGTGGATGCCTTGTTGGTGGATCTCGTTTCCATGGTTCCGTGTTCCAAGACTCGCATTTCCTAGGTTGTCTGCCATGTCATCAAGTCCAGCCAGCCTGCAGTCTACCCTCGGGTCTCTAATATTTGTAAATAAGCCGCTTTTGCTGTTGTCTCCTCTAATATGTCGTGGGCTGATGTTCGGGCTTGGGGCCTTTGGCAATCTAACAGTGTGCTGGGCCCTGATATTTTATTTGTTCTGGAGCTCGGTTGTGTGTGTGGCTGTGGGCCATGTCACCCAGTCTGGTGTTTCTTCTTCTTTGCCTTAAGTGCCAGCTGCCTCTTCTCCTTCCTGGTAAGTCCCTTCCTTGTTCTCTCTGCTTAGATTACCTTGAGGAATGGGAACATTTGGGGATGGTTAACGTTTAACGTTAACCATCCCCAAGAACGTTTAAGGATTAATATTTTGTTCTCAGAAAAAGATATAATTCAGAAGTGGATTACCAATATCTTGGGTTGTAGCCTTCCATAAATAACATCCAATTATTTTTCTCAGGTCCCTATCAACCTTCTCATGATATGATGCTCAAATTTTACGGACTGTACAAGCAAGCAGTTGAAGGGCCATGCACAGAGCCCAAACCAGCCTTCTATGAGATGGTGAAGGGTTATAAATGGCGGGCTTGGAATAACTTAGGAGATATGTCAAAATCTGATGCAATGAATTGTTATGTAGATGAACTGAAGAAGGTAAGGAATTTGTTTGAAATAAATACCGTCTTGAGAAGCCATTGTTTAACAACTTATATTTTGAATACAATTTCAATATGAGCCATGCTCTAGGTAGACTAGTTGTTTTATGTTTTGGGTTGGAGATAATAACGTTTGTGCTCTTGTAAGCTATTGTAAACGGCTTTCTTTTTGCACAATATAATACTGTACTTATAGGTATTGTTTAAACAATTAGTAATTTATTACAATAATTTTCTTTACATATATAAATACTGTTCCTGGTAAGTAATAATCCCATACAAGGCACACTAAAGTCAATTTTGCACAAGTCTTGCTTCTTCAGTTTTACAGCTGAATTTTGAGTATTTTTTTTTTTGGTATACTTGACTGACATTAATTTCTTGGATAATACATTAAGAATTCTTTATCTTCTTGAGATAAAGATACAAGATAAGATGACCCCTCTCAACAACAATAATACAGAGCTTTATATATATTATAGAACTAAATATACTGTATTGCCATCAAGATATTGGTGTTTGTTGAGCAAGTAGAGCATTGGATGAATACTATATTTTTTTAATTTTCTGAATACACAGTGTTATACAGTTATTAATTATTATGAATGTACTGTACAGTGAATATAGATTTCAATGTTATCTAATCTTCACACTTCCATATTGTTTATCTGCTGAATCTGCTTTCATTTTCACCATTTATCGTTTCCTTTTTTATAAATTCATGCCGACTTCATGAGCCAGTTGCTGCACGTTATTTTTTCCCCAAACTTAATTAACTCTTCAACCATACTTTTTTGGAGTTTTGGATTTTCGAGTTTAAATATGAGATTTCATCACGATCTTTTAATTTAAACAAATTGCTTAAATGTTTTAGTCTTTTGCATTGTTTATTCAGTGCTGTATCAAACTTAGTTTTCAGTTTGAATGTTTTTTATTTGCATGGGCACACTCATAGATTTGTAATATTTTTATTTGATGATGATTTTTCATTAGTTTTATTGAAATGCATTAGCCATCCTATAAGTGTTCTGGTGCAGTACTGTTTGAATTACCTTCTGTAAGCCTAAGCCATAGATTTTCTTTGTTCTGGAATGAAAAACCCTGAAAATCTTAAATAACTTTCTAAAGCTTCAACATGTAAATCAGGAATGCTTGGGAAAGTTACAATGATTCTTTGACCTTTAAAGTGTAGCTTTCATCAAAAGTAACACTCTGCCTGTGAGCATAACAAATAAAAAAGAACTGGTTATGTGATGTGAACACAGTAGCCAGGTGGAGGGGTCAGTGAGTGCATCAGCACTAGATTTGCAATCTGCTAACTTGTGGCGTAGATATGAGAGGACTCTAATGATCAAGATGGATGGTTTTTGTTTGTGTGGCTTCACTTAGTAGCTTACATCTTCTATATATATGTGTTCAATAACTCAATTTATGCATACATAATTGATAAAAACTGTGATTCTGTACAGTATAGTGTAAAGACCTGCATTGTAATACTGGGAGTTCTTGTTATATAAATGTCCACTTTACAAGCACTCCATCTGAATCCATCTGAGTCCATCTGAATGTCCTCTGAAGTTCCCATTTTTGTGTCCGTCCACTTGGTGAACCAGCTCCACTGACTCCAGTATCTTTTATGTCCACATGGCCTCATGATGGCATAGGGCAGTACAAAAAACATCCACACAGCCCACTAGCGGTGACCTCAAAATGTCCACACAGCACTACTAGTGGTGACCCACACTGCCTCATCGTGGGTCATCTTGAGCTTATCTTGAGATGATTTCGGGGCTTTAGTGTCCCCGCGGCCCGGTCCTCGACCAGGCCTCCACCCCCTGGAAGCAGCCCGTGACAGTTGACTAACTCCCGGGTACCTATTTACTGCTAGGTAACAGGGGCATTCAGGATGAAGAAACTTTGCCCATTTGTTTCTGCCTCGTGCGGGAATCGAACCCGCGCCACAGAATTACGAGTCCTGTGCGCTATCCACCAGGCTACGAGGTCATTAGTGAATTCATGATTCACTGATCATGAATGACAATAATTTTAAACTAGAGGAATAACGCCAGATATTTCATACTTGACTCCATGAAAGTCATATGGTGAAGGAGGGGGGGGGGTCTATATTTGCTAATACTACTGTATTTATTAAAGCATGTAACTTAGAACTTCCCTGACCAGCCTATGTTTGTCCTGTACCCTGGTCCATTACTCCCTGGAAATTTTGGTGAGGCTAGACCCAAGCATCTGGCCTCTAACTTTGGACAGAGAAAGAGTGAGACACACACACACACACAGACACACACATACACACTGTTATAAATATATGTAGTCAGTCATTTTTTTATCTTTTTGTCAGGGCAATCAATTGGGCAACTGTTTTACTTTAAAGCTAAACGAGTATTTAGAACAATTTGGTTTGTGTTAAGTTGATCCTTTAAAACGTCTCCAGTACAGTGCATGGTTTCTGAAATTTTTTAGATTATCCTGAAGTACATTCCTCAAGAAATGAGTTCCTAGAGGGAACAAAGCTTAAAAAAAGAGTTACTTTGACATTCGAAAAGTGATTTTAATTTTTTTCATACAGATTATAGAAACCATGGCATACACAGAAAATGTGGCAAATTTCATAGATGCTCTTGGACCTTTTTATGAATTTATTGATATTCCTGGCATGAAGCTGAAAAATAACATCAAAGGTGTACCCGAAGATGAGGAACCCAACAGTAATTATGGAGATGGAGAGGACGGCGTGAAGAGTACGCTCAACGGCCACCTTCCGCTGCATAAAAGGAATGGGACTCAAGAATGCGATAGTGACTCTGAATCTGATCTAACACATTTGTCAAGTCAGAATTCCTCTCCGCACGTGATGTCTGTGGCGAGCAACGGACCTGTTGATGCTTCACTGGTGAGTGTAACAGGCGGGGCAGTGATAAAGAGAGGTTGGGAAGGAGTTTTGGAGATGGTGATAAGAAATAAATTATATTTCTTTTCATCTGTTATTTATTTTGGTCATTTAGGTTTGATGCATTCATTTGACATCTTTTTGTACTTTTTACATAGAATTTACTAGAATACATTTATGCATATACAGTATTGTTTAATTAAACTTGGAGTCTCCCTGAATTTAAACATTGTTTATTTCTTTATTTCAATAATTGTTTTATAATTTTTGGTTAAGCTAATTGTACCTTAGGCCCATATGTTAAGAGAACCCATAAGATAGTGATCCAGAACCTATATTACTGGATTTACAGCTTGCCATAGTTAGGATGGGATGTAAACTCTGTAATTACTAAGCTAATTAACCTGATTAAATAACCTATTAATATAGCATCGCCTTGGTCATTGTCTCCTGACACAGTGTACTTTTGAATTATTAGCAGTCAAATAATTGTTTGCAAACCATTCTTAACACTTTCTGCGGATGAGGACTCCTCCCGGCGTCCTGTTTCGCCTACCCGCTCCCGCTATGTGGACATAAACTTATGTCCTCTTTTAAAATATTTGTATAAAATTCAATTTTTATCCGATTTACTTTGGGTTTGTTTCAAACTGCGTGCCATGAGGCTCTCTTTCTCACCAATAGGCTGCATGGTACAATAAGTTCATGAAAGGTTCACAAACATAACAAAAGTAAAAACATTTCGTGTGTGTTTGACTCTCACTGATATGTTCCAGCGTTGTTTTATATCTGGCGCTATTCTATCTTACGCTTTGTTGATCTTTTTTCCCTGGGGTTCAGCTTTAGAAGTTTGCTTGGTAGTTTTGGGCGCCGGTTTGCAGCACCCTGCCTGGGACTACCTGAGCGCGAGTCCTCTTAAAGTAAACGCTCAGGACCCTGGGAATCCCCTAGGGGGCGCGTGGGTCCGATGGATGTGACCCCGGAGTCCCCACTCGCTGTGTGCGAGTTTGAGGGTTGCTCGGTCCCCTTGTCTCAAGGTGACCCTCATTGTTTTTGCCTCTGCCACGCTGCCTGTTGGGTCGGTGATACTTTCGACCCTGAGTCCTGTGAGTGTTGCTGCTTGCTTGTGACTCAATTTACCCAATCCTCTGATGATACTATTCGGGTACAGGCGGCACGTGCGTTGCAGTCTAGGTTTCGTCTGTTGCAACGCGCTCGGTTGGTTGCTTCCCCGGATGCCCCGGGGCTGCCCCGCTTTGCTTTTCGAGACCCGGACTTGGGGTGGGGGTCGTTTCGATCCTGGTTCAGTCCGCACCTCCTCGTCCTTCCCTTCTGTTCGTTCTGGTCCCCCGCCCCTGCTTCCGGCCCCGAAGCGTCTGAGGGTTTCGGGGTCGGAGCAGGGGTTACTTGATCTCGAGACTCGGGCAGCTTCGGGGGTTGCCCCTTCCGGGGGGGCGGCAGAGGCATTCGAGTCTTGTCTCCCGGCTGAAGCTTCAGGGTCTGACCAGTGGGCCCCCCTTCCTCCAGCTTTTTCGGCTGCTCCGTCCTTGTCTTGTGGGGTCGGGGCTTGGGGAGAGGACTCGGCCTCGGGTCCTGTGGTGACGGACCTCGAGGCTGGGGAGGGGCTGACTTGGGGGCCATGGGCCCCGCTGGACCCCGCCTGGGTTTTTCTTCCCACTGAGCGGGGCTTATTGTTACAAGGAGTGGGGTTTTCTTTCCCCCCCTCTGCGTACGAGTTGGATTTGGTGTCGGCCCCTCCCCGGGTTCGGTTCTGTGTTCCCCCGGGTACGTCAGTTCCGTCCTTCCGGAGGTTTTCAGCTTATCGCATCCAACCTGGTGTGGTGCGAGCGGCCTTTGCAGCTTACCTCCTGTGTGACCCGGATTATGCCTCGGAAATGGATCCGTCCACGTTCAGGTTTGGGACTTCGTTCCCTTTCTGGCTCCGTTACGAGGTTCCGGAGTCGTCCTGGCTAGCAGACTGCCCCTTGTTTGGTCTGGATTCCTGGCATTCCTTCTGTCGTTCCCGCACGCTGGAGTGGCGGGAAGCTTCCACGGTGCTTCAGGTTTTCCTGGGGGGTGAACTTGAGTACCTGAATGAGTGCTTGTTTGCCCCTGCCCTTCCCCGCGATGTGGGCGTTATTCAGCTCCATGTGCAGGTTCCCTCCCTTTCGGCGGCGCTCGTGGCGGAGGACTTGCGCGCTTGGGGCCTTTTGTGTTCGGCCTTGCGGTTCTTTTCCCTCCTGGAGCTGTCTTCGGATTGGCTCGTGGAGGATGTGGGGACGCTTGGGTCCGTCCCGGGGTCCGGCACCTTGTCCTCGGCTGCGCGTTCGTCGGCTGCCTTGTTGAAGCTGTTCACGCCGATTTTGCGGGATGCGGTTTCCCTGTTCTATGCTTCCCGTCTCGCGTGTCGGCAGGCGGTGCTGGGTTCCTCCGTGGAATCTGCTTGGGCTCTGGCTCTTAGGCGTTCTTCACCTTTTTGTCCTCTCCTGTTTGGGGAGTTGGCCGTGGCGCAGTTTATTCAGGCTGCGTCGGCGGCTTGTCGTCCGATGTCGGACTTGTTGGTTTTCCGGGGGTCCCGGGGTGGGTCTTCCCGGAAAGGTCGTGCCAGGGCTCGGGGTTCCTCTCGTCGTGGTAGGCCTCTGGTGTCAGGTTTGGGGTTGGCTCCTCCTGCGGACCCTCCCTCGTCTGGTCGGCGCGGTGTTCGAGCTGTGTGGGGTTCTGGGTCTCGTAAGGGTTGCCGGCCCTTTCGCGGTTTGCCCCCTTGACGGGGCGATGGGGGGGCAGCTTGCGCTGTTCGCCCGCGCCTGGTCCCACGATTCGTGGGCCTTTCGGGTCGTGTCTCGCGGCCTGCGGTGGCGTTGAGTGGCCCCTCCCCCCTTTGGGGGGTCGGGGCTGGCAGGGCAGGCTTCTTCCCCTGCGCTCTGTCGAGTCGTCTTGGAGTGGGTACGCTTGGGCGTCGTCCCTCAGATGGGTTTCCCGTCTGTTTCCGGTTCCGAAACGGGACTGCGCGGACCTGCGGTTCATTCTGGACTTGTCCCGTCTGAACCCCTGGGTTCATTGCCCTCCTTTCGGATGACTACGCTGTCTCAGGTTCGGCTCCTCTTGGAGCCGGGAGCTTGGATGGTGTCCCTGGCCCTCCGGGACGCTTATTGGCATGTCCCGATTCATCCGCGGTTCAGGGACTGGCTCGGTTTTGTAGTGGGGCGTCTGAGTTACCGCTTTCGTTGTCTCCCGTTCGGGTTGAACCTGGCACCTCGCGTGTTCACACGCCTTACACGGGTTGTGGTGGCTCGTTTGCGTCTCCTAGGTGTTCGGGTGTTGGCCTACCTCGATGACTGGCTGGTTTGGGCTCCCAGCCAGTCAGCTTGCTTGCTAGCCAGGGATTTGGTTCTTTCCCAGCTCGCCGGGTTCGGGTTCTTGGTGAACTGGAGGAAGTCCCATCTGGTTCCCTCTCAGGTTCGGACTTGGCTGGGTCTCGTGTGGAACTCTCGAATCGCCTCCTTGTCTCTCCCTCCGGAGTCTCTCCTGCGGCTGCGGTCCCGCCTTCGTCTGTTTCTGGAGGGCCCTCGGGTCACCCGGCGGTTGCTCGAGGGGCTGTGCGGGAGCCTGAACTTCGCGATGGTGGTCTACCCGCCGGGTCGGGTTTGGCTTCGACGGCTGTTCTGGTTCCTTCGGGGTTCCCCCTTCCGCCTCTCTCGCGATCGCAGAGTTCGACCCCCGGGGGACTTGCGTCGGTTGCTGCGTCACCGGCTTCCTCTAAGGGTTTTTCGGGGTTCAGTGCCTTGGCGCCTACCCGAGCCCTCGCTCGATGTGTACACGGATGCGTCGTCTCTCGGCTGGGGTTTTGTGACCAGTGCTCACCAGGCCGGCCAGGGGCGTTGGGATCCGTCCTTCCGTCGAGCTCACAGTACGGTGCGGGAGTTCGCGGCAGTGTGGTTTGCTCTGGGGAGGATTCGGGTGGCCCGCGGATCGACGATTCGGCTCCATTCAGACTGCTCTCCGGTGGTTCATTGCCTGAACCACGGGGGTTCGATGCAGTCCTTGTCTCTTTGGGGTTGGTCGCTTCGGGTGACTCGTCTGCTGAGTTCTCGGGGTTTGGCTCTCCTGGCGGTTCACGTACGGGGCGTGTCCAACGTCTTGGCCGACGCCCTGTCTCGCTTCGTTCCCCTCTCCACGGAGTGGACGTTCGACGACGAGTCCTTCCATTGGCTTTGCCAGACGTTCGGGCGCCCCGAAGTGAAGTCGGCGTGGTCGCGGCGCCCTTCCCCGATTGCGAGGCCGTCGGGGTCGATGCCTTTCGGCTCGACTGGTCGAGGTGGGGGTTCCTGTACCTCTTTCCCCCGGTTCGGCTGTTGCTCCAGGTCCTGACTCGCTTAGAGACTTACCGGGGGAGAGTTGTCCTTCTGGCCCCTTGGTGGCCGGCCCAGCCTTGGTTTCAGGCGCTGGTTGCTCGGTGTCCGAACCCGAGGGTTTTCCCGCGGCTCCGCCTCTTTCAGCAGATCGGGCCGGTACGTCACGTAGCTGGTTCGATCTTCTCCTCGAGTCTTCGCGTATGGTTTTTTTGACTCGAGTCTATCATCATCTCTATGGTGATCAGGTGGCCTCCTTGTTGGTGTCCCACCTGAGGGCTTCTTCTCGGCGGCAGTATGAAGTTTCCTGGCGGTCCTTCCGTTTCTTTTTGCGTCTTCGTCGTGTTAGCTCTTTGTCTGTTCGGGTGGTCTTGTCCTTCCTCTCGTGGTTGTTTCAGGACCGTCATCTTATGCCTAACACTGTCGCTTCGTATCGTGCGGCGCTGGCGGAGCCGCTTCAGCTTGCTTTCGGTATCGATGTTACGTCTGCGCCGTTTCGCAAGCTGTCTCGTGCATTGTTTTACCTCCGGCCTGCTCATGCGTCGCCTGAGCCGTCCTGGTCTTTGGACAGAGTGCTCACTTTCCTTTCATCTCCTCGTTTCGTTGTGGCCCCTTCGGTCCAGGATTGTTTTTCCAAGGCACTTTCTTGTTGGCTTTGGCCTCTGGGGGTCGGGTGGGGGAGCTTCATGCTCTCCTCCGGCGCAGGGGTTTCTGCTCTTTTGGTCGTGGTGATAGTTTTGTTCGTTTGCAGCCGTCTCCTTCTTTTCTGGCAAAGAATGAGACTGCTGCGTTCTGGAGGGGTCCATGGGTGGTTGATGCTTGGTTGGTCAGGCCGGGGGTGCATCATGTTTTGTGTCCGGTTGCGGCGCTTCGCCGTTATTTGCGCGCCACAGCTTCTGTGTCCGGGGACGCGCTGTGGGTTGATCCGGTTTCCCTTCTTCCCTGTTCGCGGGTTCGGGTCTCTCAGGTCGTCCGCAGGGTTATTAGGTCCGGCCAGCCTGCGGTCTATCCCCGTGCCCATGACGTTCGCAAGTTCGCGGCTCTTGCTGCCGTCTTTGGGAATATGTCTTGGTCTGATATTCGGGCGCGGGGATTTTGGCGGTCGAACAGGGTCCTGGCTGCTCGTTACCTTGTGAATGTCCCTGGGCCTCGTCGGGCCTGTGTTGCTTTGGGTCGGCGGTTGCAGCCAGTTGTCTCGGCTTCGAGTTGAGGGGTGAGCGACGACCGCCTCCCGGGTAAGTCCCTCTTTTTCTGTCTGTGGGTAGTTAGCTCCGGGGAGCTGACGGGGCTCCCCCCAGAAAACCAGCGTTGAATGTAATGAAACGCCATTTTCTGGGTGAGTCCCGGAGGCTCCCCGGCATCCCTCCCTCCCTCCGGTCGACGGTTTTTCGCGTTTTTGACATCCAGCCTCAAGAACTGAGGTGTGGGTAGCTGGCGCGGGGGGTCTGGGGCTCCCCCTTCCCCCTCCCGGGGATACCTACGGGCTCATAGAACATTCTATTGCGAACACATTGACACAAAAATGAATGACGTACATAGAATAATAATGTCATGAGAATGAAATAAGTATAAACTTTCAAAGCGCCATGCGTCGTCCCGTCACCGACACCGGGTAACAATTTCACCACTTCCCACACTCTTGCGGGCGGGCTGCATCATTATTCTACGCTTATATTCATATCACCGTGTTGGGAATTTCATTGCGAGTCCATTGATACCAAAATTAACGCTGTAGGACAAGTGTGGAGGTGATAACAATCCCAAGAGTAAAAACATTTTGTTGCTGTTGGGCGCTCACGGCGAGTCATCTTCGTAGTTATTTATTTGGTGCTGGTATCCCTATACGTTTCGTGACTTTTTTTACTGATGTTCTTCTAGAGAATTTTATTGCGAACACGTTGGTACCAAAATGAAATACGTAGCTCGAGAACTAAGGTCAGGAGAGTAAAACGAGTATACACATTTTTGTTTTTACGCTTACGCGGCAAAACGCCGGGAGCACTTACGGTTGTTTTTTTTACATTCGCCGGGAGACTGAAAGTGTTAAGTACTTGCATGGATCTGAATTGGTCAGGGGGGAATTTAGCAAAAATAAATAGCTGAATTGCATTTGTTGAATGAGCCATACTAATTAGTGGGTGAATAACCATTACCTTGCCAACTTCAGTAAAGAGGTAGCATCTCTCATTTATTTTTATTTGGCACCAGGATTCATGATTTAATGTTATATTCAAACCTGTGGAGAAACTAATAAGAGATAATAATAATAATAATAATTTTTTTTATAATAATAATAATAATAATTTTTATTTAGGCAAAGGTACATACATAAAGAGATTTTACAAAGTTTGTTGGCTTTATAGATAGAGCTAGTACATGCAATGCCTAAAGCCACTATTACGCAAAGCGTTTCGGGCAGATGGTTGACATTGGCAAAGTTTTAGGTAATTAATGGCCGTTTGATGAGTTTTGGGTAGGGTGAAGCCTCTCCCAAGTATCATTTGGTAATGCAGGCGAAGAGTCACAATAACGTGGCTAAAGTATGATGACCAGACCACACACTAGAAGGTGAAGGGACGCCGAGAAGGTCGTCCCTTCACCTTCTAGTGTGTGGTCTGGTCAACATCATTTGGTAATGCAGGCGAAGAGTCACAATAACGTGGCTAAAGTATGATGACCAGACCACACACTAGAAGGTGAAGGGACGCCGAGAAGGTCGTCCCTTCACCTTCTAGTGTGTGGTCTGGTCAACATCATTTGGTAATGTATGGACATGTTTCTATAATATATTTTGAAACAGGTAATATTTGACAGTTGTATTATAGTACTGTATACAGATTTTCAAATGAAGATAAGATGATTTATCCTGTAAATTTTAAGCATTGGAGGGATTTTTTTTGTTTACTATTTTTAGAGTGGAAGAATTTGACATGTTTAATGCTCTAATATACAAAACTATTGAAGATTTCTTTTACTACTGGGATTTCTTGAAAATAATCTGATTACTATTTAAAATGTTAATTCATTTAAAAATGGGATTCCAACTCTCCACATAAATAATTTACTCGCCAATTTCAATTTATAGTCGAAGGTGGAGATAAATTAAATGAAAAATTGGGTTGCTGTGATAACAATGAAAGAACAGAGCTGGCATTTGAAGCCTGAAACTTTCCAGTGTTTTGCTTTCAAATACTGTATGTGAAAAATTATTACCACACTCAATAGCTTTGTGGGGGAAATCTTGATCAATTTAATTGTTTTCTCACCAGTAAAGTTGTATTAGTTATGCATCTGGGCTGTAAGCCACATGATCAAGTTACTCCATAAAGAGTAGAATATATAGTCCTTGAAATTGTATCCAGTAAGTTGGTTCCAGCCACTCAGTATTATGGCTTTACTTGCCCACTCTGTTGCACCATTATTTTATTGCATGAAAGTACTGTACTGGTATCTTGTTCCCATTTTGTTCCTTATTGCTTCACCAGTTCTAGAAACCTGACAGTCTTAGATTTGTTAATTTTAGCTTGCATGCACATAACCTACGTCTTGATCGCATAGTCAGAAAATTGTTAAGGTTTTCTAATTTTTGTGAAATTTAAGGTGGAAAACATTTATACTAAAAAATCTTCTATCTACAGGCACGGGAGTTGAAGGAGGCAGGTGAGGAGGAGGAGGAGGAGGAGGAGGAGGCTAGTGATCAAGAGGAGGTTAGTGATCAAGAGGAGGAGGAGGAGGATGATATTTTGGTAGTGAAAGTCCAGCAGCAAGAGAACGTAACCACCCACACAGTCTCTCTCTCGCCAAAAGCCTATAGTGACTCTGAATCTGATGAGGAATATTCAGAGCCTGCAGAGGTGATACCAATTTTTAAGCTCTTTGTTTAGGGCTTAGTAATATGCATGGGGTTGTAGGTTCTCAGTCTGACTAAAATTGAAAACGTTTGTTAATGTATCCTATTTCCAAATTCACTCTCTGGCTCCTTATACACAACCTGTTTTTTTTTTCCTGTTTAATGTGCTTATAATATTATATATATTCATGTAATGATTTCATTGATACATTTTCAGAGTTATTTATTCTCATCCTGTTTATCATTAAGTTGGCTGCTATTGTTTGCTTGAATTATTCTTGGCAATAAATGAGAGAGATTATCAGTAAAGTACTTGAGAAATGTTCAGTGTTTTATGCACTGAGCATTTTATAAGTTGGTGTGTCATAATGCCAGTTATCTTGTGAGGTAGGCATTAAGTGTAGAGATTAATATAGGTTGAAGAAAGTTTTAGTAAGTGTCTGGGAGAGGTAAATAGGGAGAAATTGAGGAATACAATTAGTGAATGAGAGTACAGTATAAAAGGAGATAATGAGCTGTTTTTGTTTTTCAAGTTATGGGAAATTAGTTTATACAATTTGAGGCAAGTTCTGCATAATGTATGACCGAGTGGTTTAAATGGCATGAATAGTTTTAATATCAAAGTACTGTACTACAGTAGAGATGCAGTTTGCTTGAATAGACTAATTGGGATCAGACCTGTCCTGTTTTATCAAGGCTTCCAATTCATGCACTATATAATACAAAATGTTTTCTTTCTGATCACAAGTGATAAATTACATCCTTGTGCATATGTGGACAATAATGATATATATAAACAATGAATTTGAAATACATTAAAAGATTAAATAGTGGAAGAAAAAAATATTTGAAATAACTGTGTCTTGTTTGATAAATTGGTGCAAGCACTATGGTTTTTGGAGAGTTTGAATGCTGGCTCCCTGTAGCTAGTTGCAGTGAGATAGCTCTGTATCTTTAAGTCATATTAGCTCATGCAAGTCCTCGAAAGCTTACCAGAGACCACAGGCCAAATTAAGTGATTCTGAAGTTGGAAAGCGCAGCATATGCACCTCGCACAATGTCCTTTGTGTTCCTCTGGTGACAGTCTATTCTTCTATCTATCCATCTATCACTATGCTGTCCACTAACTGTGTGTGTGTAATGTATATATGTATATATATGTACTTAAGCCTAAATCCTATAATTGCTAGGAGAGAGGGTAGAAAAAGCTAGATATCACTCTCCAGTAGGCACTGATAGTTAAGCACTGATAAGCAAAAACTACCTCGATACCAGAGCAACTCACGAGCAGAAAGGAGAACACCTCCACTCTTCACAGGAAGCGAGAAACACAAGCTGACATCAGGGAAGGTAACTGTGAAATAGTTGTTGACGCACTGTCGGTCAAGGAAAAGCAAGATAGGGAACATAAACTTAAGCATAATGAAAAAATGAAATCATTATCATGGCTTCCCCGCTGGACATAAAAAGCCAGCAGAATGCTAACCCCATCTAGCTTTAAAAAATAATGGTGCTTCTTGCAGCAACAGGTGTCTGTGGCTTTGCAGTGACCACGAGGAACCGTTGGGTGACCTAAGCTGCCGTCTAGTTGTGCACTAGGATACTAGCTCTTGGTTTGTTGATATCAAGCAAACTATACTGCTCCTATTCCATCCCTTTTATTTCTTTTACAAAGATTCATAATTTGTTTTACTATGCCTGTACTTTCTTGATGCTTTTACTGGTTATTAGATGATACAGTATTAAGATTTCCATGCTCTTACTCCTATGAGCACACCAGATTCTGGTCGTGATGTTCACTTAGCCTTCAGAAGTCCAAAGGCCTGATAGTTTTGTGGTGGTCTCTCTCTGATATCAGAGCCAATGCACCAGGGAGCTACTGAGGGCCACCCTTGAAAAGAATCAACTGTCGAATACTGTACCTGTATAGACAAATCCATGCTGACACTGGATGTAATGAAAATTTGTGATGAAAAAAATAAGGTTGACCCCTTATTAGTCCATTCAAGCAAGAATTCACAGTAAATTGGGGGTTACTGTTTTACCACTTATATATGGCCAAAATCTTTATACTGTACAACTCAATCAAGTCACAAGATTTGTATCGAATTAATAGAACACCATTGAAAATTAACATTGTTTTTATTAAATGTAGTGCTAAACTTCTCATTCAAAAATCTGAATTAATTGTCTAGTGTGATATTTTCCTAGAAGTGATGACTTGGATTCTATGCTGCCTAGGATACTTAAGGGAAGAGCTTGTCTGTTTTCTAATAGTTTTTTGTCTTGCGTCAAAGGTAAGTTTTCTTTTTAAAGTATTTAGACAAAATCTTTACCTATAAGCTAATAAGTTATTTGCTGCATATACATGTAGTTTGAAAAATTCTGTTTTTTTAATCTGTAACCATTACTGAGGACACATTTTTTTCAGGCCTGTAGTTTTCTCTTGAATGTCTGAACTCTTGTTCCCTCTTGGAAATCCCAGCCTGAAAGGTGATACATGTATCCTGTTCTCTTTGGAACTCCTTGCCTGAAGGGTGTGACCTCATGTACTTGTCAATTATTCATTATTTTTAACAGTATTAACCGAGACATAAAAATGAATGTTTCTGGTGGTAGGTTTTTGTACTTATCCTCCTCCTCCTTCTTCCTCACCTTGTTACTACTACTACTATGGATTGCTGTAGACACCAGACCACCTGGCTCAAGTGGACACAGGGCTAGCTGAGCAGACCTGGTCTTCGACTCAGATTCACCATCTCTCTAACACCCAGGTACTGCTGCTTCAAGTACTGAACTTCTCTTTCGGTAAGGGATTTAGAATACAATAAATAGACTTGATTGGTCGGCAGAAATATTGTTTATCAGTACAGTACTGCTAAATTTATTATGATGCAAATAATGTGCTTGAACCATGCACAGGGTAACCCCCTCCCCCTGTTGTTATTGACCATATGTGGCATCTAATTCTTGAGTGTCTACAGTGGTGTATAAATCTAAATCCAAAGAATGTCAGTTCTTCAAATCGACTAATTTTATGTTGAAATATGGAAAATAAATAGAAATAATTTTAATACAAATTTTGGACTTGACTCCTAAAGTGTGGCTATGATCAAATATACCTCTGGCTCTGTGGAAAAAAAAAGTGTATAAAATTATACATTTGTAAGAAAAAACAAATGTAAGATTTATTTGGGAACATTTATGGAGGCTTCCTGGTGGTATTCTACCTGGATACCTCCACTCAACTCAATCCTCATCAGGGGCCAGATTCACGGAGCAGTTACGCAAACACTTAACCTGTAGATCTTTTCTTAATCTTTGGCGGCTTTGTTTACAATTATTAAATAGTTAATGAGCTCTGAAGCACCAGGAGACTGTTTATAACAATGACAACAGTTGATTGGGAAGTTTTCATGCTTGTAAACTGTTTAATAAATGTAACCAAAGCCATCGAAGATTGAGGAAAGATGTACACATTCGTAAGTGCTTGCGTAACTGCTTCGTGAATCTGGCCCCGGGCCATTACAAGTTATTGTAAACTAACAGGGAACTAGAGATCAAATCCTGGAGGACCCCCTCTAAAGTGGTACAGGGAGCTTGAGGACACTGGATCACTGAGACTAAGGAAAAAACACTAGAAATGTGAGCGAGACAATACAGACAATCAGTAAGGCAAGGTAAACAAAGCATAGAAAATGAGATGCCAAGATGAACCATCCATGACGCAGTTCACTCACTAGTTAACCTGTGTGCCACCTTGTGGCCATGCACCTAGCTACTGCACCATGCAAATGACTAATGTGTCGAAGCCAGGAACAGAGTATCTTGAGGTTATCTTGAGATGATTTCGGGGCTTTTAGTGTCCCCGCGGCCCGGTCCTCGACCAGGCCTCCACCCCCAGGAAGCAGCCCGTCACAGCTGACTAACACCCAGGTACCTATTTACTGCTAGGTAACAGGGGCATTTAGGGTGAAAGAAACTTTGCCCATTTGTTCCCGCACGAGGCAGAAACAAATGGGCAAAGTTTCTTTCACCCTAAATGCCCCTGTTACCTAGCAGTAAATAGGTACCTGGGTGTTAGTCAGCTGTCACGGGCTGCTTCCTGGGGGTGGAGGCCTGGTCGAGGACCGGGCCGCGGGGACACTAAAAGCCCCGAAATCATCTCAAGATAACCTCAAGATACTCTGTTCCTGGCTTTGACACATTAGTCATTTGCATGGTGCACACGTCAAATGTTGTTGCAGTTGTGCTCGTTCCAGCCATCTCTTCGAGTTCCAGTTTTTCAGATAAATGGTGGCCATCCTGGACACTGTTCATGCCTTCTGGCTCACTGTCAAGGATGTGACGGTTGCTTCTTTGTGGTGGGCTATTCATGGAGTTCCTCTTCCTCCAGGCTCCATTCTTCAGTTCAATTCTGACAGATTCTGGTGATTCTTCCCTCCCATTGGGACTGATCTCTGTGTATGGCTTGGGATTTTAGTACACCATTCAGTTTCCATGAGAGGTGTGTCCCATGTTCTGGCAGATGGTTTCTCACTTCCATTCCTTTTCTACATAGTGGACAGTCTAAGATGCATCGTTCCATTTAATTTGCTAGGCGTTTAGTCACCCCAGGTGGACTTCTTTCTGTCGGCATGGAACTAGCTCTGCCTCTTTCCATAGATCAACTAAGTGACGTACCATGCTGATTTGTCTTCCTCTGTCTTTCTACACATCTGTATTCTATAGTGATTATCCCACAATTTGTATGGTGCTTACATATAAGTGACTATAGGGGAGTGAGATCTACCTCTTCATGCCCTGCCTCCAAGCTGTTTTCATACCTGGTGAACTAATTACCCCCTCTTAACATTAACTTTTCATCATGTTTATTTTTAAAGCTGTGAATGGAATTGGCTTCAACAGCCTCTTCCTTTGGTGCACTCCACTTGCCTATCACTCGTACAGGGAATGAGAACTTCCTTACGTGTCTTCAATTCGGTTGCATGTTCAGCTTCCGCCGATGTGCCCTTGTCCTAATCATTTTTTTAATTTAAACAGGTTTCTTTTATCCACTTTATCCATTTCCCTCGAGATGTTGTATGTAGTTATCATATCCTCTCCGTTATTTCTCTTAAGTTGTGAGGCTAAGTTCTGTCAACTTGTCCTCATAGCTGAGGCCTGTTATGACCCAGCATAAGCCGTTCTGACTAGGTACTCTGTGTAATTACTACTTGTAATTTTATGTATGCTTTACAGTCATCTTTTAAAGTATTACACACTTGCATGTGTGTATGTATATTTTTATTATGTTCATATTTAATATTTCTCTGTGCTGTTGTGAGTGGTTGAAGAGCTTGTTTGAATGGCATGTGTCCACTGGCCAGCCTCTGTGTCTGCAAAGTTTTCAGTTTTCATACTCGACACTATACCTAGCCAACGGCCTGGACCTCATCAATGCCCCGGACGCAAGTCTCACTGCCTCCACTACCACTCCAGGGACTACGACCAGGATGACCACGAGGAGACTCCAGAACCACCCAAGACCCGGGCGGCTCAGAGGTAGTTTTCTCTCCAGCTCCCAACACTCTTACTATCACCATCTCAGCAATGTGCTCGCAGACGTGCTGTCTACAAATTTTAAACAGCACCACCAACATTCCTGCAATAGCTTCTACCACTAATCCATGACACCTGAGTCTAACTCAGGCTATTAGACCAAAGACAAAACTACCAACTATGGACTCCTCAGATGTTGAAATCTCAGTAGGAGCTCCATCGCCGCAGCTCAAATATGACACCTACTTGGTACAAGACCTCCTCATGGAGGCCACCTCCCTAATCTCCAACGACAGCACTGCCATGTCAACTCGCAGCAGGTCTTGATAAAAAAAAAAACGGAAGACATGGAGGTCTGCACTAACCGACCAGCTCCATAACTGGTACAGCCAGCCCTCTGAGCCTGAAATCCACCATGAAGACCCCATACATCCACAGATGTCCAGTATCAGCTATTGGTACTGGTAATGGCTACAAAGAGCCTCCACTTGTGGGTTATTCATGCCCGTGCCACCTTTAGGGTGACTTAATCTTTATGAGTCATCAGCAATGTTGAACACGAAGTGTTGACAGGTGCCAGGCACAGCCCCCTCCTCCCCCCCTCCTACCACCTTCCCAAGTACGTCCGTCCAATGAAACGATAAATATTTACCTAATTTTGTGTGTTTCTTACATTTTGCATGCAAGTTAAGAATTCTATAATGAAAGATTATTTTGGGGGATTTTTTTTTTTATATTTTGCGCATAGGCGGGTATGATCATTTTTCCATAGCCGCTGTCCAAGGGTTAACTAATATGTACACAGTCATGAACTACAGTGTGTCTTGGGGAACATATTCCAATATACACCATACAGTATATATATATATACAGTACTGTATATACATTCATTTACTTGAAATTTATTTACAGTTTTTTATGTACTGAATTTAAGATTATTATATATTAATATACAATACATATACCTTACATTTATTTGATATTAAAAGATGCATTGCAAAATGTAGCAATTTGTGCTTGTACCTGAAAGGTATTTTGTAACTTAATCTTCATTTTTGCGTTGCAGCTCAGCACTGAACCCTCTACCACAGACAGAGCAGCCTTGCCTCCGCCTGCAGTGCTTCCTGGAGTGACCTTGGCAAATGCTCTCACGTGTGGAGGAGGTGATCAGAGCCACCCCGGTGGGCTTCAGATGACACCAAGACAGATCCAGCAAGGCAAGCCACACTCATTGCTTTTCTTACGCCTAGCACATTGCCCTGTGGGACACCACTTTCAACCTATCTAACCTGAAATAACTTACCTGACTATGACCCTTTTGTTTCCTATCAGTCAAGTACCCATTTTCATTACTGTGCATTTATTTGGATTGAATTCCAGTAGCCATTTATCTGCCTACTTTGGAAGTTTGTTAAGGTTTTCTAGCAGCACCCTACTGTCCTCTTCAGTATTTACTCTCCTCATTAACTTTGCATCATCTGCAAACATTTACATGCTCACTCCCTCTGCAAGGTCAGGTTAACATTCTGAAAATGTGTTGATTAAGCATTTGTTTGGAACACAGGATAAGATTTCCCCAAAGGTTCAATCCTATAAATGTGAAATGCATTCCCAGACCCCCAAAAAATCATCACAAAACCAATATTTATGGGACACATAATATAAAATGCACAGCATATTATTTACCTTGAATGATGGAGTTGACCTGCTTGTCGGAGTTAGCTGCTTATGAGGAGTGAAGAGATCTAGTTACTGGAGGAGGCAGCAGTAAGTGACGATGCACGGACGGTAGGTGGCAATACGTTGGCGGTGGAGGTAGGCTTGTCATCTTCAGTGTCACCAGGGCCTCGTAGCCTGGTGGATAGCGCGCAGGACTCGTAATTCTGCGGCGCGGGTTTGATTCCCGCACGAGGCAGAAACAAATGGGCAAAGTTTCTTTCACCCTGAATGCCCCTGTTACTTAGCAGTAAAATAGGTACCTGGGTGTTAGTCAGCTGTCACGGGCTGCTTCCTGGGGGTGGAGGCCTGGTCGAGGACCGGGCCGCGGGGACACTAAAAGACCCGAAATCATCTCAAGATAACCTCAAGATAACCAGTTAGGTTTAATGTTAGAGATGATGCATGGGTGGCTGAGGTTTGCTGGTCAATTTCAGTGTCACTGGCTGCATTTGATGCAGGATATGATATGTAGGTGGCAAACACCTGTGGGTGATCCATCATCATATTAGCGCTAAGCTGTAGAGTTCAAAGGTCTTGATAATCTCGTGCTTAGCCTCTAAGGTATTGGATTGCCTCTTCCTTAGCACTACTGTATTATGAACACACATCCTCTACCTGATGGACATTGTTGATGGTATTTTGCTTGATAAAGTCCAAAGAATGCACAATGTGTCTTAGTTCTATGCATGAGAAAACTTGCCCGAGGCAGCGCAGGTTTCAACAGATGAAAGTTGCATCGAACATAAGATGAGTCTCCAACATATTTTAAAATCTACCTAACCATATCTAATTGAAGCAAACTTTACCCAGACAAACATAATCTAATTTCACTAAGCCTAACACAGCATAATGTAAGCTAAAACATCTTGACCTAATGATATACTGCATACAGATTTAACAATTGGAAAATCTGTTGTTAAATAGTCTGTGTATGATTTGACCATATCCCATCTGCCCTAGTGGGCTGTGCAGACGTTTTTGTACCGCTCTACACCACCTCGTGTATGTTTTAGCTCCTCTCATAATACTAGGGATGGTGGCGTGGGTTTATTTAGTGAATTGATATATGAAAGGGGACCTGAGAAGCATCCAAACGGACCTGAGGCCGTTTGGATGGACAAGTGTTCGCATAACAGGGACCTCCGGTATTAGAACTACATTTGCCTTTTTCCAGATTTCTAGTAGCTCTCCCTTCCCTCCTGTAATGTTGAATACAGTACTATATACACCCAGTATAATTACTGGGTAACACATGATCCATGCAGCTTCCTTCAGTAATCTTGGTGATTACTGGCCTGGTCTTCCAGCTTTTGCTACATCCATTTCCTCTAGATGTCTTATTAACTTTTCAACATGATCTTCATTTCTGTCTAGTGTCATATTCTTTTATGTTTTAGCTAATCACTGGTGTGAGCAACTTGCATACATTCTCTCAATACTTTTGACACTTCGTTCTGCAGGAACCTGCTAAGAGGATGCATCGTTTCTGTTGTGGTCAGGAATAAAGTTGCTCTCTTGAGCCATCTTTTGAAATGGCTATTTCTCATAAAAATTGTTTTAACTATAGTACTTCTGATTGTAATTAATGCACAATTATTAAACAAAAATTTGTCTTTCAGCTAACATAAATGCATATGATATTTTGATAAAAATGTCAGATTATACTTGTAGGTTCAAGGAGTGCTGGTGGTTCTCGACAAGTATCAAGAACATCAACGGGTAGTCTTTCTACTCCTCTCCATCCTGGGAGTTTCTTCCAAAGTGGCGGAGGGAGTGGAGGCTCAGGTGGTGGCGGTGGCGGCTGGGGTGGAGCAAATTTGACAGAAGATGTAAATGCTCAGTTGGTGGTTGTTTTGAGACGCTTGCAGACAGACATGGAGAGTGTTCTTCACCGCTTAAACACTTTAGAAACCCTCACAGTCACTCAGCACCACACAGTGTGCCGTCAATGTCAGGTGGGTGATAAACAGTGCTGCATGTGGCTTTTAATGTATGTTTAGTATGCAAGAACTTTTGAGTGATTTTGTTTTATGGATTAATATCTCAGTAAAGGTGGTATTGCTCAGTGTGCACTGTTCCTTATAGGTGGCCTCGTAGCCTGGTGGAGTGGCCTCGTAGCCTGGTGGATAGCGCGCAGGACTCGTAATTCTGTGGCGCGGGTTCGATTCCCGCACGAGGCAGAAACGAATGGGCAAAGTTTCTTTCACCCTGAATGCCCCTGTTACCTAGCAGTAAATAGGTACCTGGGAGTTAGTCAGCTGTCACGGGCTGCTTTCTGGGGGTGGAGGCCTGGTCGAGGACCGGGCCGCGGGACACTAAAGCCCCGAAATCATCTCAAGATAACCTCAAGATAGGTGTTTTTATTCAAGTCATGTGTGGCTCAGGAGCCTCATTCAGCACTTGTAAACCAGTTGGGCTTTTTATAACAAGTCTTAGTGAATATAGTTATAAAGTACGTGTTCAGTACAAGTACTATGGAAACTTGCTTGAAATTAGCTTGCAAATAGTACTGTATATATGTAGTCTGCTCCCTCAGCTGAGGTCTACAGGTGAGATGACTTGGTTGTGAAGCCGCTATGTACCACGTTTGATTGCAGTAAAGGGTTCTCAATTGGCTTCGGGTTCTCTTTGGATTAAATTTTTTTATCACATGCACCATTAATTTGTAATTAAGATACTGCGGTACCGTCCAGTTCTTTGGTATTTATTAGATTTATATAAAGTATTCAGTATTTTGTGATTAATATTTTCAAATTTTTCCAGGGTGGTAGTGGCAGCATCCCAATCAATAGTGGACGTACTGAACCATCTTGGTGGCCATTCCCAGAACTATCTCCTCGCTCAACTTTCTTTCTCCTGGTCTGGCCACTTATTCTTCATGGTGGTCTCAAACTGCTGCTACTTCTTCGGTCTCGAAGACGACGCTCGTAGAAAAGTCTGGGTTAATTGTAGCTGCTGAGGGTCATGTATCTAGACAACTTTGCCAGGGAAAGGTTACACTGACCTTTAAGGTTTGGCAGATGTAGGTAGGAGCTGTTTGAAAGTCTACCTTGATTTATTAAACTGGACGCTTCCTGAAGTGATATACTGAGAGATACATACATGTCGTGACAACTGGCCAACATATTTCATTACTATAAGGCAAAAACCTTTAGAGTACAGCCATCTGAAACCTCAATTATCCATTTGCTAAAGCATGTCAATTCTATCACATAATGAGCCTCAAATATGAACTTTATACCAGTACCTGTACACTGTTATTGATAGTGTATTTATGTAAAATTCCATTGATTGACATTGTCATTTCAAGGGACAAACTGATATCCTAAAGCAGAAAGCGTGTTGCTGTTGACTTACAGTTGTGGCTGCAGCTGCAAAAGCTAGGGGTCAAGTGTAGTTTATGCCTTGTGGAATTCCATCAACTAATATCATAGATATATTGAATAGAGTAACATTAGTTTTCCATATTTTTTTACAAAAGTTAGCAAAACACTAGCTTTTAGAAAGTGTGGTACTCAATACTGTGTTGAGAATTATTGTGATGTAAAGCACAGCTAGATGTACAGATTCTGTATTTAGAATTTCCAGGCTATTAGAAATCAAAGCCTTTGTTTGGAAGGAATACGGATTTTGTTAATTTTTAGTTCCCATAATTTCTTCTGCATGGATGTAAGAATGATAGTCACAATATTTCTAATGCAAACAGTTCTACTGCTTATCTTGAGGTTATCTTGAGATGATTTCGGGGCTTTAGTGTCCCCGCGGCCCGGTCCTTGACCAGGCCTCCACCCCCAGGAAGCAGCCTGTGACAGCTGACTAACTCCCAGGTACCTATTTACTGCTAGGTAACAGGGGCATTCAGGGTGAAAGAAACTTTGCCCATTTGTTTCTGCCTCGTGCGGGAATCGAACCCGCACCACAGAATTACGAGTCCTGAGCGCTATCCACCAGGCTACGAGGGTCCTTATGTGTTCAACACTTTGCTCCCAAATTGTATTTGGAAAGTCTTACAAAATTCCTTTGACTTTTTTTTAAACTCTCCATGCAGTTATTCATGCATATATTCTTTTGAGCCTCCGATTTGCCTCTCCTGTCGGGGTTGTTTGGCTGGCAATGGGTTAAATTTGAGGGAGGATGTTTAGTGACATGTGAAATGTTGTATTACAAGTACAATTTTAAAACAACGTGAGTCAGTTAAAACACAACTCGTGCCCAGTGATTAGTAACGCCGCGACCACCATCAATGTACAGGTAATATATTACGTGAAGATAATTTTCAAGTTAAATGCAAATAATGATATTTTGCATTTTTATAAATTAGAAAAGTACATTGATTATCTTATTGCAGAGAGATGGTAAACTATTAAATAGTTTATGCTAGTAAAGGGAGCCGGTCGGCCGAGCGGACAGCACGCTGGACTTGTGATCCTGTGGTCCTGGGTTCGATCCCAGGCGCCGGCGAGAAACAATGGGCAGAGTTTCTTTCACCCTATGCCCCTGTTACCTAGCAGTAAAATAGGTACCTGGGTGTTAGTCAGCTGTCACGGGCTGCTTCCTGGGGTTGGAGGCCTGGTCGAGGACCGGGCCGCGGGGACACTAAAGCCCCGAAATCATCTCAAGATAACCTCAAGATCTCAAGATAGTAATTTATGCTCCGGGTTTTTGCAAACTGTATCATGAGAAGGTTTACAATAGGTATTTAGTGTGTCAAAATCAGGAAAGTTGTATATTTTATTGAGCAGCTTCATAGTTACAGGGAGACTTTACTCTCCTTGCCTTTGGCACAAGTATATCGAATGCTTTTATTACAGCAGGTACAAAGATTATTTTCTCGATTCACAAATTTTCTGTATGCGAGTGTACGTTGTGAGCATATTTGTAGGTATGTATGTTGTACATGTGTATTTAATGTGTGTATTGTGCTTTGCATGTGTATATGAATGTATTATGCACATGTGTATGTGTAGTGCAAGTGTGTGTGTTGTGCACATGTGTATGTTTGTGTAATTACCTAAGTGTAGATACAGGATGAGAGTTACGCATATGGTGTCCCATCTTCCCAGCGACTTTTTGTCATATAATGCTTTGAAAGTATTGATGGCTTTGGCCTCCACTTTCTCGCTTAATCTGTTTCATCTGTCTACCACTGTTATCTTGAGATGATTTCGGGGCTTTAGTGTCCCCGCGGCCCGGTCCTCGACCAGGCCTCCACCCCCAGGAAGCAGCCCGTGACAGCTGACTAACACCCAGGTACCTATTTTACTGCTAGGTAACAGGGGCATAGGGTGAAAGAAACTCTGCCCATTGTTTCTCGCCCGGGATCGAACCCGGGACCACAGGATCACAAGTCCAGCGTGCTGTCCACTCGGCCGACCGGCTCCGACCGGCTCCTACTGTTTGCAAAAGAAACTCTATGCAACACCTTTGTGAGGGTTGCCAGTTTCCGGAATTCCTCTTTGTCAATTTGGCTGATTCCTGTTATTATTTTGTAAGTGTTGATCATATCACCTCTTCTATCTTCTAGTTTATTTAGTGCCTCTAGCCTCTCTTCAGAACTCTGTTTTTCAGTTCTGAAAAACTTCTGCTATATAGTTGTAATGGCTTAGCTCTTTCTCCTGATAATTGCCTTATCTTAACTTGTTCCAAGCTTCTACCACTGTTTGCTAAAGTGAATTTTCTAATGTTTTCTTCGAAGCTGTGTTTCCTTGGCTTGAACCTATGACCTCTGTTCTTGAAGTTGCAGTTTTTAAAGTGTGTACACTCTCCTAGTTGGGCTCGCCTAGTTGTGATTGTGGGGGTTGCACTTCGGCTCTTTGGTCCCGCCTCTTGACTACCAATCAACGGGTTTACAGGTTCCTGAGCCTATTGGACTCTTATCACATATCTACATTTGAAACTGTATGGAGTCTGCCTCCACCACATCACTGCCTAGTGCACTGCATTTGTTAACTACCGACACTGAAAAAATTCTTTCTAATGTCTTGTGTGGCTCATTTGAGTACTAAGTTTCCACCTGTGTCCCCTGTTCATGTTCTGCTCATGCTAAATTGTTTGTCTTTATCCATCCTGTCAATTCCTCTGAGGATTTTGTAGGTAGTGATCATGCCTCCCCTAACTCTTCTGTCTTCCAGTGTCATGAGATTTAATATCGTAGTCTTTCCTGTGTGTGTGTGTGTGTGTGTGTGTGTGTGTGTGTGTGTGTGTGTGTGTGTGTGTGTGTGTGTGTGTGTGGGTGGGAGGGGGGTGTATGTATGTCTGTGTACTCTTGCTGAAGAAATGTATGTTTTAACTTGTTTCTCTTGTCATCAAGTCATCAACACATCCAGTTGATGACTTCAATATGTATTTTTATAAATAAGAATATATAGAATTATAGATCAAATTGGTTAGATTTTGACATTCAATACATTTACTAAATGTGTTAATGCAGTACTTAAAGAAACAGATATATTGGGTATACAAGGAAGAATTTCTCCTGCGGTCGGCCGTTAGATGCTACAATGGTAAAAAAAGTCTCCGTGGTGTAGTGGTAAGACACTCGCCTGGCGTTCCGCGAGCGCTATGTCATGGGTTCGTATCCTGGCCGGGGAGGATTTACTGGGCGCAAATCCTTAACTGTAGCCTCTGTTTAACGCAACAGTAAAATGTGTACTTGGATGAAAAAACGATTCTTCGCGGCGGGGATCGTATTCCAGGGACCTGCCCGAAACGTTACGCGTACTAGTGGCTGTACAAGAATGTAACAACTCTTGTATATATCTCAAGTAAATGTAAGCATTGAAGAAATACTGATTGGCAACTCCAGGTAAGAGTTGCAGATGTTGCAAAGTAGTTGGTATGTGTCGAGGATAAACATAGGATGAATAAATACCCAGTAGGTTTTGAAGACTCATTTAATATACAATGTATAAAGGTAGATTTCTAAAAATCAGATAAGTTCATGGGGTTTTGAGAGAATATGAAATCCATTGACTGGTAAGAGGAATGTGGGCATTATAATTGGATGATTACAAGTTATGCAGAAGAGCTGACTTAAAAGTACAAAGTATGATACAGGACAAAGGTATGTAGAAAGTTACCCCCAGATGAGTTTGTTTTAATTTGTATAATGAATGTATGTAGGGGAATGGCAACTAAATAGATTTCAAGATCTTGTACATTGGTCTTAACTGGTAGTGAGTGAGATGGCAGGATACAAAAGATAATCATTACACCAGTTTGTCTGTGGCCAGGTGGGTGGCGGGGAAAGGGGGGGGGGGTGTTTATTACTGGCTCGCACCACTCTCCTTCATACTGCCACCTCACTTAAGTGCTCTGTTGTTTCTTGCATTTTAAACTTTGTATGATGAAGAATGGCAATTGTTTGTGCATTTGGTGGCTCCTCTATAGTGACCCACTTGCATTTAGTAATTAAATTAATAATTCTGCTTTTTGGCAATCATTTCTTGTGCAGGCGATGAGTCACAATAACGTGGCTGAAGTATGTTGACCAGACCACACACTAGAAGTTGAAGGGACGACAACGTTTCGGTCCGTCCTGGACCATTCTCAAGTCAAATTCTCAATCGACTTGAGAATGGTCCAGGATGGACCGAAACGTCGTCGTCCCTTCAACTTCTAGTGTGTGGTCTGGTCAACAATCATTTCTTGATATGTTTACAGTATATAATATTACAAATATATCATATTAAATAACACCAAAATATATTGGGTGTAATAGAGGATCTTGGGTATAGTTATATGATAAGACTTACATACAGAAAACAAGAATTTCAAACATGGTCAGTAAAGTGTTGGGAATGCACTAAGCCCTGACGATGCACCAGTTTTGAGACTCGACCATATTTTTTTTTTTTTTTTTTTTTTTTTTTTTTTGAGAAATATACAAGAGTTGTTTCTTGTAGAGCCACTAGTACGCGTAGCGTTTCGGGCAAGTCCTTAATCCTATGGTCCCTGGAATACGATCCCCTGCCGCGAAGAATCGTTTTTTCATCCAAGTACACATTTTACTGTTGCGTTAAACAGAGGCTACAGTTAAGGAATTGCGCCCAGTAAATCCTCCCCGGCCAGGATACGAACCCATGACATAGCGCTCGCGGAACGCCAGGCGAGTGTCTTACCACTACACCACGGAGACTGCTTTATTTAGTCAAGTGTTTTTCACTAGATTGGGGAGTGGTTTTTGTAACATTTATTTTTTACTAGTGAAAATATTCGCATTCCCTATTCTTACACACTTTTTTTGTATACTTGAGAGTGACTGTTCTTCTATACTTTAGAGATTTATTTAGAGATTTTAGAGATTTTAAATTACCTGCCATATTATATCTACTTTGTTTAGGTTATTGTATATTGCACTTTTATGTATTGCTTTAAAGTTTGAATATTAGGTTGTTATTGTATTTAATTGTTGAGATGTGTGGATATATATATATATATATATATATTTGGGTTATTATTAGCAATCTATTTTGGGTTTTATGTTGTACTATTTAATTTTGTTTATATTTGAATCCTGTTTCTTTGAGAGAGGTTTAGTCATATACTGTGTTGTTGTACAACCCGTTCTCGCAAATTCGTAAAGTCAATATTGACTTATTAACAACGTGCATAGGTGATATACTAAACATAATAGATACCCTTAAAAAGATTCATAGAAAACACCGACCTTACCTAACCTTGTTAGTATCTTAAGATAAGCATCTTATTGCTTCGTAATTACAATTATTACTTAACCTATACCTATTATAGGTTAAGTAATAATTGTAATTACGAAGCAATAAGATGCTTATCTTAAGATACTAACAAGGTT